TTAGAGCGGGGACGGACTAAGAAAAAGGTTCCTGTGCCCAGCCTGTTTTATAGCAAGGAGAACAATCAGGGTGAGCTTGTAGTCAGAAAGAGGTCAAGGGGACAGCGGGACAGATTGCGACAGATAAGGCAGGGTAAGTCAGGAGTGGTTTATATTGCACTTAAACTTCAAATGGGTTGGTTTTGTTTTTGTAAAGAACATGTCCGTGTTTTATTTAATTCATCAATCTGACTGTCATTATTATTGTAGATAATATATTTATGAAGTGTTTAAATTAAATTAATTAACAATTAATAGCTTATATTGTACATCAGTTTGTTAAATTATTTTATATTATATCAATTTTTATTTGAACTCAATTTTTCTTCTACTGTGGGATTTTCATTTTTCCAAAAACCAAGGTTGGATATTTTCACTAGAACCACTCACATTCAACAAATCTTTCACAATATTGGTTTCTCACTGATGTATATTAACACACCAAGATAGAGAGTTGTTAAGATTAATTTTTGTTGGTCTACAGGAAATAAACGGTACACAGTGCAAGGCCTGGACAACCATTCTGGGTTGTACGATGAAAGTCTTTCTGATACAAGTGATGCATCTCGACCTGAAGTACCTGACGACCTCCTGTCTGTGTTGAAAAATATGACAAAAGAGGTTAGAACATGACCACGATGAATAATTCTGTTACCGTACAACAATTTAAAGATTGTGCCATAAATATCTAGCCTTTATTTAAGCGTATGTGCATTAAATATATATATGCATTGGAACCGATGTTTGTATGATATTAATTCTTGGGATTAGGTCCAAAAAGACAAAAACTCAAATCAATAAAATCTATTGCATTTCAATTTTGAGAAGCTGAACAGCAACTGAATGACTTGTACTTAAGTGTTAGGATGGTAGATTACTATAAAATTTATTAATGAAAAACGGGGTAATTTTGCAGTGATGAAAGTGAATGGAGATGAATAGATAGGCAAGCCAGACGAACAACAATTTTTCACGCTGCAAAGATATTTATGAAATCAACAAATATTGTTATCTATGATATATACAATTAGTTTTAGGAACAGCAATCAGTGTTATATTAAATTACCAATCCCTTGCTAGGTTACACTAGGTACTGGTATATTACTTAATTTATGAATATAAATCATATCACATTGCTTATGATATTTATATTATTACCCTTGCTACATCCTCTTATTATGCATGATCTTTTTATTATTATCATTATTACCCTTGATTTTTTGCTCTTAATTTTGAACTTACTTAAAACAAGCACAATTGGTGTGCAGCATAGAGAAAGTTAACAGGTTCCATACATTAACAGATAGACCAACGGATCTACTATTCATATTTTAACTACCGATATCAAAATTTTTTTTATTTTATTTATTTATGGGCAATTAAATTTTTCTAGGTTTAAAAATATGTTTGTTCATTTTCTAGGAACTGTTTCGTGTGGTAATTCAAAGTAAAGCCCAGATGATCAGAAAGGACCAATACATAAAGGATTTAGAGAACTACATTGATGACCTTTTAGTGAGAGTCATGGAGGCCAAACCTAAACTACTGAGCAGACCTGGGATGCACCGATAACACAAGAATATTCAACTCTTTTTTACTAAGAATTTCCTTGATACCCTAGTAAAAATGATAGTGAAAGAATAGAGGTTTAATTTTTTTTTAAGCTCTCCTATACCGGTGATGTTTTTAAAATAAAATTGTACAGGGAGCTTCGAAGTAAAGAAAATAGCTTTAGCCTCGTTTTAAAATTTGCAACAATAAGTTAATTGTAAAAATGGATTGGATGCATTCACTAGCTTTTGTAATGAATGTAATGCTAAATTATGCTTAAATTGGACATTACTATTGCTAGTGCCAATATAGATCCTCCGTCTCTCCTAAACTCCATTCCACCAAAAATGAATTATAGATGTAACACCATTCTTTATTAAAATAACTGTTAATACTGTTAATCAATTCCTCAACCTGAAAATAAACATTCATGAAAAATAAAGTACTGTACCTAACTTTTTTTATCCCCACTTCTTATTCCTAATGATTTGAAATGACAAGACAGATGTCATTGTTACAAGGGGATGGGAACATCTCATATGGAAAAATAATGGGTGTATGGTGTTAAAACTTATACTTATAGTTTTGAAATAGGAGCTACCGGGGTATGCAACAAAAAAATAGAATATGAGAGTTGAGAGATCATGCAAGAGTAAGATTATTTTTTACCTCTGTAAATCTGTTAAATTCTAAGGAAACTAAAACCTTTTAAAAGTACAAAGTAAACAAGAAGACTGCATGAAAATTTGATTGCAAATTACAAGTTATCTGAGAACTGAAATCCAGATTGGATGGATGCAAATGCAAGCAATATTTGGTTTTCAGACTTCCCCAATTTGAGTTTGTTAATAAATGAATTTGATGAATTAATTAAATAATTTAGATGCAAGGTTTGATTATATGTTATGTTTGTTTTCATGGTTATTGTATATAACAATATAAGTTTAAATGATTATTGTGTATAGGACCAGGTGCTTCTTTTTTAAATATTTTTAACCATCGTTTTGTACTTATCTTTGATCTTACACTATGCAGAGACTAGTAGATTTCTTAAATCTAATGTTCATTTCTCAAGTCCATTATTGTTAATTTTGGAAGATTGGCCTTTCTAGTATATTAGTTCTCAACCTTAAAAGTCCTATGATCTGCTGACCCACTGGTGTTCCCCAGCATACTAGCTGTAGCTTCATAGCATTCATTGAATGTCAGGGTAAGCAGTTGTAGTCAGGTCTATTGTCCCTTAACAGTAACAGGCTGAGAACTACTGAATGTAGAAATTCTAAGAATCTTTTAAATAATTGAAACTTTGAATTAATTGGATTAGATATTAAAATTACCGGGTATTAGACTTATTTGATTCCTAATAATACAGCTAATGATCCTTTTTTATGTTCATATTTATAACATAAAATTATTAAAAATATTACTGTACTGTACCAAGTGTTATACTATGCAGAAAATTATAAATCATTCCTTACAAATTGGAGCAATGATTATATTCTTGTAAATTTTCACTGTGTCAAAGATTCTCTAAATTGAATGTAACTTTAACATTTTCACTGAACAAGTTATTTTAAAAAAGTTTTTTTCTGATGGAGTTTTCAATGTTTTTTTTAAAACACTCCTTAAAAAATTCATCAGAAGCCACTGGTTAGGTATACAGTTTAACCTTAATATTTTCACTGTGTCCAAAGATTCTCTAAATTAACATTTCACTGAACAAGTTATTCTTTTTAAATTTTATTATCAATAAAAGTAAAAGTTTTTAAAAAATAAAAACTCCTTAAAAAATATAACAGAATGCCACTGTATCTTACATTAAATTTATTAACCCAGACCTTTGAATAAGTTAACAGATGAATAACCCAGATATCTGACTCTCAGAAAAGCTGTTTAATTATGAGCTTTTGACAAAAATAAAAAAAGACTTACTACAATGTTTATTTTAGATATTCTTTTTTTTTTTTGGTCACTTTTTCTTTAGAAAGTGCTTACTGTCCAAAAAATGAGAATATTTGGAAAGTTAAAATTCATTTTTTTTCATTATTTTATTTAATGGTCTCACCTAACATGTTACTAGTATTATTATAGATCATTTGTACCCGTATAAAATATTCAAATAAATTTACTCCAGCATACAAGTATACAACCATAAGTAGGTTATACTATTTATTAATAGTTATATTTTTTTGAAAAATATTTGTCTTCCCAAAACCACACACCAGAACAAAGGGCCATAGATTTAGATAATGAAACAAAATAAGGTGCTGCAAATTGATAACTTCAATATAGTGAGGATTTTGTATTTTTTGCCTGGGCTCCAGATAGTTCATTTTATTCCAACTTGCCAATTAACTTCACAAAATGGCTAGACTTCCAATCCTATCTTATCATTTAGTGAAAACTGAGATGGACCGTATTTCAGGATTTATCATCAATCCTAATTGAACTTATACCATGATAACGATTTTTAATTTTTACTTTTGTTAATACAGTAACATTCAGAAATGAAATATCTATAATTATCAATTATGTTGTCTTCATATCATCATGAATATCTATAATCTATTTTCTTTGATGTATTAACAGTATGTCATTAGAAAAGCTACTACCTAGTACATTTTAAAATATTTTATATAAAAATAGACCCCCCCCCCCCAACCACTTTTGTTTCCATTTCCCATGAGCATATGTTTGCAAGGCTCCACTTATGCTAAGAGTAAGAGGTGAATTAATTACATTTTTGTAGCCATACTTCCATTTTGCAGCTGCTGGCAACTATAAATAAATTAGTTCAAAAAAAATATATATTCTTATAATGTACCTTAATGGTATCAATAATAAAGTCAAGTGCTCTGTACATGCTTCCAGGGAGAAAGAAATTCTTTATTTATAAATACTGCCAACAATTTTATCACATACAAATATTCCTTTTTTGGGAATGTTAACTTTTAGCTGGTCGTCCTTAAATTTTTATGGTGTCTTATGTGTTAACTTCTTTGAATAAAATATTTCATTTTGTACTCATTTGTTGTTTTTTTCCCTCAATGTATTTCAACAAACAATGTCAGGGGCAAAGAAAATATCCACAGTTACCTTAATGGTGTCAACTTATGATACCGGTACCTAGATTTGAAAGCAAACATAAATGACAAAAAGTACATTTTTGTTTAGCTGAATTAATTTTTAAAATTAATTTAAATACCTGAAATGTCATTCGATTCATTTATTTAAAGGGGGAAATTTTTGTGTTGTTCAGTTTTGTATTCATCAGGTAATATAAAGCCATGTAAGCCTCACATTCTTGAATTGTCTACAAAATTTGTGTGAACAGCCCTTACCATCAATTTTGGTCTGCTGATTGTCAGTGTAAGAGTAAGAGAAAAAAATTAACTGTTTTTAAATTGTATAGCATTTATTAGTATATAACATAATTATGTAGACCTTCAAAAAGTGTATCCCTTTACAAATGGGATAACAGTGCTTTGGCCTTTTGCCGTACTCATACTCATAAGATAATAAATTATGGTTTTTCTACTAAATTTGAAAAGGTGCCAAGCTTTTCTTTTTAATCTAAAAAATACACTACGGCACACTACAAGTGAACAACTTTGATATTTTAATTGTAGGTAATTTTAAAATATACTTACACATATAAACTTTGACATTTTAATTGTAGTTAATTAAAAAAATATATACTACAAGTGAACAACTTTTATACTTTAATTTCAGTCCGCATGACAATTTATGAATTTATGCCATTGTCCTTTCAATAAAAACACAGCTGAATCAGTCCATCAAATTGTATCCAAGCTTAAACTTCACTCACACTAATCTCTTATTAGGTTTTTTCACACTGATCTCTTAGACTCTTTAACAAGAAACACACACACACACACACCCCCCCCCCCCCACCTTTTTTCTTTTTTGTTGTAACTAATGTAACCCACACACACACAAAAACAAAAGTGATTTTTCATGTTCAGTCCTCAAGTTTCAATGGCTATAATTAGGCAGAGATTTGAAGAGACATTTTTTTTTAAAAATCTAGTCAAAATCTTTTCATTACCAACAAACCAAATTTGAATCAATGTGAACAAAAATGTGCACCTGAAAAATTTAGTTAGACCGTTTTCAAATTTTCACAACTTTACTACCTGGTACCAAGAAGTTGAATAATCAGAAGTATTACATCTTTGATTAGGGCATTAATCACAAACATCTATTGCACCACAATTCCAATAAGATGTTTTAAAAGTTAGAATATGAATTAAAAAAACATAATTGAAAATGTAAAATTTCAAATGACTTTATTTCATAAAAGTGGGGATGGCTAGTATTTTAAAATCTACCCTAGCACCACCAGAACTGTACTGAAAATAAGACACCAATAATTATACAAACACAAACATACAGACAAAAAACAACAAAAATGAAATTTTCTTTAAAAAAAAAAAATTACAGTGAAATATCTAAAACTCCTTACATTACAAAATATTAAAGAGATTTGTTCAAATTTATTCAATAAAAGAATAAACACAAAAGTTATTGAACTCTTTTTAATAGAGCTCTTTTTTTTTTATCTGGGACTATGCCAAAGTTTTTTTAGTAAAACCCCTGGAAGTGAAAACTACCTGAAAATATGTTCGTTTCATAGTTTGTACTGTTTCTAGACTCCAATAATTGCATATATTATTTATTTGTTCTGACAACATTTTTTTTTAAATGTTACATGTGATGAATATTTCAAATGAGCTGAACAGTTTTTAATGGCAGCTTTACGATGTTCTGAAAGAAATATATTTGGAGCCAAAAATAATTCTGTACCTGAGATTAGGTGTAATTTTTTTTTTCCCCATGGTTACACTCACCTCATCAACTACAGTATTTTGCTCGTGAGCAAATACTATTAAAAAAAAATAAAAAATAAAGGAAACTGAAAATAATAACATAACATGCACATGGGTAAAAACAAACTGAAAAATAAATGCACATAATAAAATAATTACTGTTTTAAAATCCTTCATGTGGCCCCACACTGTTCAAATCCTATACTGTTGGGCGATCTAGCTGCCTTGTCCAATTTGTCTTGAAGCAGATGGATCCTCTTGTGGCTTGTTAATCCTCTCGAGCCTTTACTCCATTCTTCCCAAGTTAAACTCCATCTCCACATTTAAAAACTTTAATTTGTAAAAAAAACTTTCGATCGACATCTGGCTACTACCATGCTTAATTAAATTTATGAAAACAATAATTTACACAATATGATACAAATCCTGACAGTAAAAAAAAAAATCCTACAATGGCAACACGGATGATGATGGTAGAACATACAAGTTTCCTCTCTGTGCAAACACCAGGAACATTTGGCAGTAGAACAAACTTGATACATGATGTAGCCTGGGGGAAACAAACAGGGGAAGAGAAAGAAAATACAAGGTCAGTTCAACATTAACACAGAGAACAATTTTTTGGGATAGCAATGTCTGCAAGGCTGTTAATTACACCTGTTTTCACCCATTCTTTATACAAGCAATGAATGACAGTAGCCCACACAGGTAGAGTGCTAATATTCATTGTTAGAAAATACAGGGGAGCACAATTTTGAGCATAGTTTTAAGTGTGGTCACTTAGTTGTAATCGTAACAGCTTTGCAGACACACCCCATAAAGTACAGTGAAATGAGAAAATACAAATGTGTTCAATACAATGCAACACTTGAAACAAATTAACCTTGCACATTTCATTCCAATTACTAATGTACAACTCAAAAATGTATTTATCTATGACAATAAGTAAGTAAACATTTTTTTTCTGCATCATTCTACACATCATTGTTTGAATTAATAAATTTAATGTCACTATTAATGGTGTACGCCTACCACGTTGGGTACACATTTTAATGAGATTTATTCAAATAATTTGATTCTCATATGTAAAACACATTAGATGCTTTTTTTCCCTTAACAATGCAAGTAAAATTTAGTACTACCGGTACAGCAAAAAGTGTGACTTAAATTTTATGTTACATAGCATGACAATGGCTTGTTGGAAATCATATGCTAGTTAGCAATATTTTTTTTTTCCAAGCTATACAATTATAACAACTCTCTATTTCCTGTGTGTGCTCTCCAAGCATTGTAACTGAAATACGACACATAAAATATTCAAATAACTGTATTAAACACACATTCAAGCCTTATTAGAAGTTCTATTCGAATATTTTTAAGGGACATATATATGTAATAAAATAGAAATGGATATGTCAATGATAATACAGTAAACATAAAACATACAAACAACTATTTTTGTGTTCAATCCACAGGAAAAAACAAGCAATGAGAATTGCTTCTGTTTAGTAAACAGTTACTAAACTATTATAGTCAACAGATTAATTTATAATATAAAAAGAGGTGGTGGGGGTGAGGGGGTGGTTTACAGTTTATGTTTAATCCAGAGGAAAAACAAGCTATGAGAATTGCTGCTGTTATGTAAACAGATACTAAACTATTATAGTCCACAGATTTATTTACAATAATAGGGAGAGTGGTGTTGCACCATCTTTTTACAGGTCAAGGTCATTACAGCAAAAATCCAATGCATCTACATAGACACACAAATAAAAAAAAAAGGACAATGGTATCATTACATTTGATTCTAGACTTGCTTTTCCTTAGGATTCAACCACAACAAGTAAACATTCTTTAATCATATACATATGGAATTCTAGTAAGTTGGAAATAATTTTGTAAATATTGTGTTCTCATTAAATTGTGTGTCTTCTTTTTTAAATGCAAACAGACTGTACTCACTGTATTGAAACTTTTCTTTAATAGAAACAGACTACACTCATTACATTGAAACTTTATTTTAATTCAAACAGACAAGACTCACTACATTGAAACTCTCATTGCAATGAAACTTTTTAAAACGGAAATTACAGAAGGGAAGAAATCCATATCAAATGATTTTCAATAAACAGAAAGACAAAGAAGATAGAAGATTAAGAAATATAAAGCAGATTGTTACAGAACAATTGTACAGCTCATATCAATGAAACAAATTATAAGTTTCATTACAGGTAACTTCAAATCAACTACATACATTTACACAGTTAAAAAGTTGCCTAAGTGTAGAATCCCAAATACCTTCTTTTTTTTTTTTAAATGTTATGCATGTAACAAGACAAAAGGCTGTTTTGTAAAAATAATATTGACACCATATATTCAGACAGAATAATTAAGGTAGATAAAATAAAAGACATTCTTACTTTCTATTTCTGTGGGATACTTTCAAGTTCCCAAAAAAACGGCAGCGCTCTATATTACATGTGGTTATGTGAGAGATTTGAGGTCTATTGTAGATTTTTTTATTACTGAACATTCCATTGACAAAGGTTAATTATGTCAGTGCCATACCATTAAATGCAGATTATCATTCATGCCTTTCTTTTAAATAATGATTATTTTAAGATGAATGTCTACAATGTCTCTGTAAATAAATAAGCCATTAGAGTGTTATAATTTGTCACAGCTTAATTATGTAAGAAGTTTTATATGCAAGTCCCCAAAACCAGAAAACCAGAAATGGAAGTCGATATTTTTCCAAGTTTCAAATGCATTGTTACTTCTGTAGGGCATACTGACACATTCAACTTGTAAGGGTTGTGAGACTTACGGTCAAGCAATTTTTCCAGATGCAGAACACACAAAAGGTTGAGAAACCCAATGTTAAGTAAATAAAGGTATTTAAACTTGTCTCTGAAAGAAACTATAACCAGAGCTACACATGTCAAAGCTAAAACTCCACTACAGTTTTTGTTAATACTTGAAAGTGTCCAACTTACTGTGAAATAAAAGTGTCCAACTTACTCCGAGGTAATATGATAAATGCGGTCCCAGTATATATGTCAAAATTCCTGGTATGTGTGGATTGAACTTTTTTCTTTAATTCTTGTGTGTCTCACACACACACCACCATCAATACTCAAAATGTTGTGTTTTTTTTTTATACCACAGTGTCATAATGCATATATTTTTTTTTAACTCACTGCCAATCAAAATAGATCAGAAATGAAAGACTCTGAACAAACTATCTGGTTAGAAAATTTTAAAAGATAGTCCAGTTAAAAAGAAAGTGTTGCCAGACTTCTGAAATTTTCCATTCCACAGGGCTTCAAAATAAGATATCAATAAAAAGATGAAGAAAAATTCTCAAATGGCAGCTGTAATTTAAAACTAAACCATTTTAAAACTATTATACATCATCATATTCTCCTAAATAATTATAGCAAAATGATAGACCAGGGATCCTTAACCCAACTGCCGTTAAGGGTAAGTGTGAGCGACGAAATATACGGAACCAGATACCAACCATCTTGTTAGCTAGAGCAGGCCCATACTTCACATTGAAATACAAATAAACTTTTAGTTGTTAAATTATTCTTCATTTTAAATGTTTTTTTTACCCCCATTTCTTTTCACAACAACTAAGACTTATGTTTATGTGCATAAGATTTCTTTTTTTCAAATATAGCAGCCCTCAACAGTGTCTGATTCAAAAATTTTGAGAACCCAGGTGGGAGACATTGAAAAGAAACGAGTCAAAGGATTAAAAGAAATATTTTTGAAGCCAAATATATATATCTGGTGGACATTTAAATAAGAATATGACGACGAATGTCACAAAAGAAATTTAAATTGCAAGTAAAAGAAAGTGTTCATTATTTTTCATTTTATTAGTTACCAGTACCACTACCTAATTTCAGTTGGAATAAGTTAGACTTTCTGTTAAAATAATGTTAATCTCAAAACAGGCAAAAAAATTGTTACCACTGTTGAATTGGCTTGATTTTAGTTTAACTGTTATAGTAGTGTTTTTTCTTCCTTTTTCTGATAAATGAACTTGACATTTGTTTTCTATATTACTCTATAAAAATTTGGAATGAAATAAATGCATATTTTTATTAAAAGTTATATTGTAGCCAAGCCTAAATTTACTACAATGAGTTCTTGACTTAATATATCTTAAGAAAAAGATTTTATGTTAAACTGTAAAATTAATTTATTAGATTTTATAGTTGACCCATAATAATTATTTACTTATTACAACAACATTCAGGTAATTCTTAATAATTTCTTCGCGAATACAAGAAATCAAGCTATCTTGTTTTGGTGATGCAGAATAAAAAAGGGGGTGAAGCTGTCAAAATAGATACAATTGACCCATATCAAATAAAATGATGTCAGTTGTAATTTAATTTGGCATTTGTATATGCTCTACCATGCACCTTATACGAGCAAAGGGACAATTTTGAAAATGCTATCTTTGATGCAAACATGGAAATATGGGCACTTAGGTGAAAATGTGGAGAAATGAAGTTGAATTTTTAAGTATATGTACATGATACATATATTGTTACATATTTTTTCAACTATTTATATCAGAAGTTGCCAACCCAAATGGCTTCACGGGCCATTTTGATCACAAGTCAACCCTTTGCGGGCCGCATGTGGCTAACCTAATAATCAAAATAAACATTATGATGACAAAATTATTATATTAGTTCATAATGCACATAATCCTCCCATTATAACACACCTACACATGGTATAAAAACACATCAATAAATTTTATAGTTTAACTTGAGATATAACTCTTTTGAAATATGCATTCATGAATTTCAAATATAAGTTTGAAGCTAGAAGGAAAGAGACGCAATTTAAATGAACGATATATCCATATATCCGGCGGACAGCAAAATTGAAGGTTGGCCATCCTGATTTAAATCTTTAAAACTGAATATTACAATTTCTTTCTTACGCATTTTAAAAAATTTACATTCTGATTATATACATGTCTCAATATAGCACATCTATATACAACATGCTTTTCATACGCCAAAATGACAGTTATCATTTATATATGAAGTTTATCTGTCCTGTAAGTGAGTATTTATGAACCGAAGTTTTGCTCTATAATATAAACCCAAGTTTTGCTCTTAAATATAAAGCTAAGTTTTGCAAATAACTAGCTAATGCCTACAATTAAAGACCATCTAGGAATTGAACACATTAAATTAGGAACTGGCTGTATCAACAACAAAAACAAGTTAAAATAATACAAATAATAACTTATAGTTTATAGTGTTAGTTCCAGGTTGTTTCTGACCAATACATTATTGTGACGGATTCAACTGTTGATGTATGGATTTGCCTTAAATGGAGGTTATTGAAACATTGGCATTAATTATATATGACAATTTAAAAAATATTTGACGTGGTTAGGCTTTTTAAATTCGTCATGACAGATTTGTTCTCTACAATTTCAATTGTATGAAAAATAGCAATTAAAACAGTTGTTGAGGTCGTTAAATGTAGATAATATTTGTATAAATATTGCCAGGACGTAGATAACATTTGTATAAATATTGCCAAGCCACCAAATCATGAACTTGACAATCTTTTTAAAACCATTGCAAACACACAGAAAGTGAGTAAATCATATCAAAGGCTTATATAAAAAAAAAAAAAAGAACATCACATGAACTTAAAAAAATGAAGAATATTCAATTTATAAAATAGCAATTAAAACAGTTGTTGAGGGCGTTAAATGTAGATAATATTTGTATAAATATTGCCAGGACGTAGATAACATTTGTATAAATATTGCCAAGCCACCAAATAATGAACTTGACAATCTTTTTAAAACCATTGCAAACAAACAGAAAGTGAGTAAATCATATCAAAGGCTTATATAAAAAAAAAAAAAAAGAACATCACATGAACTTAAAAAAATGAAGAATATTCAATTTAAGAGATCACAACATATTATCTGCAGGATAAAGAAAGCATTTTATAGAGGTAAACAGGAGATGAAATAGAATACTGTTATTTCAAGGCTCTTAAAGGCGAGAGGGGGGCATAGTTTTTTTTAATATCAATTGTTCAGAGGCATGCTCAACATGTCTATCAGTTCAGTGTCTGCTTTAGCCTATTTTAATGCAGAAATGTAATAACCTGCAACATCAAGAAATACAAGACAATTTTATTAAAATACTTCAGGTATGATTGTGAAACAATTATCTAAAATACCAATCAAAGAATTATGTTCTTAATGCATCCCTTGATGAATGGAAGTTTTCATTTTTAATAATCCAAATGCAGTAAGCATTTAGAAAACAACAGATAGAAACAATGATGCCAGCATGTCCGATGACTAGTTTAAGAGATGGCTCATTTGAATGATCTTATAAAAACAAATGGTCAAACGCATTGTGCAAACATAACCAAGGACTTTTGGCACTGAAATAAATTATAGAGCAAGGCTTGTCACACAGGCAGAAATCAGAGGTTCTCACAGCGTCATAAATACCAAATAATCATGACTTACTAGCATGGATCCAATATACTGGATCATTTTATATCAACGTCCTTCTATGATTTGTTTTGATATTTTAATATGAGAAAGAATGTGTTAGATGCCTTAGCGAAGTAAACCAAGTTGACTGACTTCAAACTTCTTCATCTTATATATAACAATTAATTGATCATTCTGGCTCCTGGTTTTGAATTCAGAGTTTGCCTTCTCCTAGATGAGTTGCTGTCTAAGGCTAACGAGTCTCATCCACCCGGGGTGATTGGGACTTTGGCTTTGGTGGGGATTGAACTCATGACCACCAGCGATTTGGTTTGAGACAGTTTAGACCACTCATCCACCCAGCACCCAAAGTACTGCATGTTGTAAAAAAACAAACAAAAAATGCACCCAAGCATTTTGAATTCCATACTTGAATATCACTAATAAAGAAATATGAAGTAAATGGACAGATAAACCATTAACATGTGTAATTATAATCTACCATGTCATAACTGTTTCATAAGGAAAATGTAATGATGATGACCTTTATCAAGGATCTCCAAACTAAAATCCAGCTTTGACATGCAAAATGCAGTAGCTTCCTTTGATTTCATAAAGAGATTTGTTGTTTTTTTTAATGCAAACTTTGAGGGCCATATTTAATTCTGTATAAAGGTCATTTCAGTTGTTCCATTTTAACCCCCAAAAATCAGCTTATTATTAATATTGCTCTTTAAGAAACAAATTGGTGTTAATGAGCAATCAAATTTTCAGAGACTATTGACAAATAATTACATGCTATTAAAGAAAGTCTCAACTTAGCCTGAACCTAGCTGTTCTTCAAATCAGTTTGGAGATCCCTGCTCTAAAATCATAGGAAAAACCCCATTCACATTTCAAATTTTTAAAAAAAGCCCTAACCACCAATTAATTTAAAAGTGAGAAACAATCCACAGACAAGTCCTAAACTATAACAGACTTGGCATTCTCAATTTAATCACAATAATGTGAGTCATGTTAAACAATCATCATTGCCTTCCAGTGTAAATTCGTTTTACATAAAACTTAATTACCTGAAGTGAGCAATTTTTAAATCAGCATTTTGAAAGATAGCTCAACATTTTCTTTTTAATAAGTCAGTTCATCATCTTGCATACCTTTGTACTCTGATATTCAAAAAATCTATTCGATTTCAACAGGCTAAAAAGATTGAGACTGTTTGGTCCAGGTTCAGTATGTTGGTTGTACAATATAACTTTACACATTATTATATCCAAAATGTTGAAGTAATGATAATTTACACAGTTAAAAGATTTAACTGAATATAATATAAATAAAAATGTTTTCTTTTTATTGTAGACAGGATCACCTCTGAGGACATTTTGTAGAAAATGAATTGTTAAAAGAAAACAACCAAAAAGCATGAATCATAGCATTAACAGAAACTCAAAATTAAAAAAAAGCAAAGCACAATTATAAACAAAAACAACTTAAGGCAAACATCAAGGAGACAACCCTCTTGTCATCTGAAACAGGAATGCATTAGTCAATAGAATTATAAGATGTAGAAATATGACATAAGTAAAGTATTTCATGTCATGAAAGCATAACTAAAAATAACATTCAAAATATTTAGCATGCTGGCAGTGTTAATAAATAAAAATTGAGTGGAATATTTCACGCAGACGGGGTAAAACTGATAAAAATATTGGACGGTTTGGTACGGTAAAATGTACCTTGTCAAAACAGTAATATCACATCAGTATAAACGGGAAGTTGAATAATCGCACTGAAAGACCAATTATTTAACATTAAATCGTCAACAATTATGACAAGTTTTTTTTTTTAATACAACGGTATTAGAAATGATGAGGCAAAATCTAAACTGACTTTAAATGTTTCCCAACTCAGCCACATTGCTACAGAATCCCCCCCCCTCCCCCTAACATATTGCAAACATCTGTCATTCATGTCATATCCCTTGCATACATGCTTGCAAAATTAACATTCACTTCTCATTACAACAAAAAGTTACACCAACAGGCACAAAAACATGAGGACTTAAAAGAGTAATCTGTCTTAGTTTCAAATGCATTTTCAGCTGGAGAATCAATACTTGACTACAAATTAAAATATAACTGAAAAATGTTTAACAAATTAATAAATAATGTCTTTTCTTTACCATTATTTTTATGGTTTTGAAAAAAATTGATTACAAGTTGTTTTTAAAAAAAACATATCAAATGTTATTTTATATATTTTTTTTTTAAATTCAGGAAAAAAAAGGAGTGATCATAAAAATTTGAGATTCTGTAGTTTTCAACAAAAAATAAATAAATTTACTAATGAAAAGTTAAAAATCATATTACTAAAAATATATATCCAGTACATTTACTATGCAAATCAATCATAGCTACTTTATGTATTCCTAAAATTGCAATGAAGATTAAAACTGAAAAAATGCTTGTACCATTTCATCTAGGAGGTACATCATGAGAAAAAAAATTACAAGTTTTTAAATCTACATACAAATGAAGCATTGAATTAAATTATCAAATTTTATGAAAATAAATTATTTTTTCACATTAAAAATAGCACCTTGTAAAAATGAGGCAATTTCATTTAGCATAGGCTAAACTTTATTTCTCCAATCTAATATTAAAAATGCAAAATAACTATCCTTTTTTTTTTAAGTGACAGGGTTAAGAATTGAAAAGCTATAAGTTAATAAGTTAAAAAAGGAAAAAAAAATAAAAAAATAGAAAAATGGTGTGATAAGCCAGATAAATATATAAGACCTACAGCAACTATTAAAATTAGTTTTGGTCCCTGTTAATTGATTTCCAATCCATGTTTAACTTGAAGACTCAAGTTAGTTACAGTAGTTTACAATGACAACACAACTGGAACATAAACAAACAGTAATACACTAAATCCTTCACACAAAGCATCAAGAGATTTTTTAGACAACTGAAGTTGACTATCAATAATTATATTAATGTGCGTTAATACATTCAGTCACAGATACATATCTCAGCAGTAAGCCCAGATATACAGGAAAATAAATATTTAAAAACCAATTTCAAAGCAAGCAGGAATCCTTTCAAGCACACGCAATTAATGAAAAACTTTCTGCTGTGTCTCTTGAACATTTGAAACAATTTTCAGATTCGCAGTAATATTTGATATATATAGAAATATATACAGCATGACACTTCCGGAAATTTTTAACAAATATAATTTCCTTATCTCCATCCCAACAATTACTCAAATGCCTTGCGGGTGTGCTTTTTATATAAACACATGTCCAGCCTTAATTTTAATATGCACAAGATGTATTTTGTAGTGAAGTGGTTCATTACGTATAGAGCTTTAAACATTGTATTGCATCGACTGATGAGTTTGCCTTATTCCCATATTCAAATAACTTGTATGCTACAACCACACAATACCCATTTCTCTGATAGACTGATGTGGAAGGTTCTTTCATTCCAAGACATTTGCTCCAATACAGATAAAATGTCTACACATTCATTAATTTTACATCAGCTGAACATACGGCGTGTAGTACTCGGAATCTAGGTCATTTTAATTAGTTCTCTAAGCAATACATTTTTGCTAAATTAGAATACAGCATGCGAGATAAAAACTGTCAAAAAGAATGTATCCGCAAGTTCGCCTAATTGTTGAGCCAAGCTTTTTCATATCAGTGAACCAAGCTTATTGAGGAAATTAAAACTGTATGTAGAACAACATAGAAAGGGCACTTGTGGCCAGGAGGTAGTCACTTTTCATCTCAACTTCTGGAAAATAAATGGTGAAAATGCTTGATGAAGCACTGTAGAAAAAAAAACAGCAAATCAAACATTAAATTAGTTCCAGACATGTCATTCAATAATAACTACTTACCTAATTGACTCAATTTAAAATATGGTGGCTTTGGCAATATGGATACTGGTGATCGACTGCAAGACTTAAAAAGAGCCCTGCCGATACTTGGAACACTTTGAAAGGTAAGGTGCAGAATCATCAACAGGTGAGAACTATTTGATTTTTTCAGACCTGGAAAAGATTCTGTCAAGTGGCACAAATAACGGTAAATAGCTAATCAAATCTGATGAACAGATTTTGAACAGTCTTACCTTTAGTTATACTGGTGACTGAAGCAAATGTTTTAATGTCTGCGGCTACTGTAGTCACGATCTGTCCTTTCACGTTCTGTTCGCTCCCTTTCAACTCTTTCCCTATCTGCTCTCTCCCTATCACTGCGTTCGCGTTCAGCCCGTTCAGCGCGTTCTCTGTCGCTACGTTCTCTTTCAGACCGTTCTCTATCTCTTTCTCCTCCTCTGTCACTTCTTTCACTTCGTTCTCTCTCTCTTTCCCTTTCACGGCGATCCTCATAATGGCGCTCCCTCTCCCTATCTCTTTCCCTGGAGCGCTCTCTGTACTCTCGAGGATCCCTTTCTCGACTGCGTGAGCGGTGTCTGGGTCTCTTCTCTAATCTTTCTCTCTCCCGATCTCTATCTCTTGATCGAGAGCGTCGGCGGCTACTGTGAATAAAACCATTAAATACTTCTGTTTTAAAAAAATTTGTGATCTATATATATTTTTTTAATAACAATTTTTTAAAAAGTATAATTTTATGTTTTGAGAAAAATTGCATGAAATAAAAATGCAATTGAAATATATGCTAGATATTTATTGTCTCATGAAACAATTAAGTCTCAATTAACTTAACAGGTGCTTAGTTACAAATACATTTTTAAATTTAAAGCTTACCTAGATCCATAGGATTTTTCTTCAATGCCATGGAGAGTATCTTGTAGAGAACTAATGAGTATTTTGCACCGGTCATCTGATGCAATCTTTGACTGTTTTATAAGAGAAATGGCTGTCACCAGTGTCTCTATCGCACTGGGGAAGTCCCCTTTTAAATTTGAAAAAAAAAAAATAAGCATAAATAATTTTTTAAAAGGAAGTCAAATTTAGCCATTGAAATCAAAACAAAGTAAGAAGCCATTTAGAATCTAAAAAATGAATCAATTTACCAGAGCTTGCATCCTGGACTGCTCTATTAATAGCACTACTTGAGACTGTCTTGTTGCGCTGGAAAATTTCTTCAAACTCTTGGTCACTCAACTGAGGTGGGGGTGGTTCATGTCTGAGTAAAAATATTCATTCATATACATTTAAATATTCATATAGGCACATAAAAACTAATGACCCATTTCCAAACATTGTTTTACTGTTACCCAAGAGCAATTTTGTTTAAATTATAAAATACCTCCTTGTTTTATCAAGGTAAATATTGTACAATTTTAAAATGCATCTCTTCATCCATTTTAATGATTTGCCAATAATTAATTTTGTTTTATCAGGGTAAATATTTTAAAATACATCACTTCATCCCCTTCATTGATTTGCCAATATTTAATTCATTTTAGAATTTAAAGGAGTTTTTTTAAGTGGCTAAAACTCATTTCATAAACAAATATCAATTTTCTACTTTGATACTTGTAAATTTAAAACCTATCTCACAGCAATAAGTATGTTAACCCTGTTGTAACATTTTTTTATTAGGAAAAATAAAAATCAATTGTTGTGTAAACACACATTTTCATAGCAGGAAAAATAAAAATCAAACTCTTGTATAAACAGTTACAAACTTGAACTTGTGAAACTAAACAGCCAAATTAAAACCGAATGTAATGCAATGTTTTTTACAAGCCAACCTGATAGGAGTTTTTCTTATCTCTGAACGGGAAGGCCTAAAATATAGAAACATATGACTTGTAATTCATTCCATTTAAAGAAAGGTTTAAAAAGTAATATGATTACCGATTACCCCACTACCTGAAGGAGACCTAAGATTTTTTTTAGCTCAATGAACATAAAAGTAAACCTAGCGTGGGAACTATGTATGAAAAGTCAAACTGAACCCATTTTCTACATTCAAACAACAAAAATATATGTTTTTTGACAGGGTTAATAAAATTATTAAAACTAATTACATTAAATATATCATCAAGATAACCACATTTTTACCTTTCTGGGGGAGGCCTGGCATAAGGATTTTCAGCATAGGATGCTGCTGGAGGTGGTCGGCCATATGGGTCAGGTGGTGGGTGAGCAGCCTAAAAGTTAAATGAATGTAAAAAGATAATCAGTAAATATAAAATGTTCCCCTTTATTTAAAAAAAAAAGGGAAAATGGCATGACAACATAACAAAAACATCTGACTTCAATGGATGATGGATTTGGTTTGTTTTATTTTTGTTATGAATACTATTACTTTCTGTTACTCTGTATATTTTTTTTACATTTTAAATTACATTTGGAGGCAAATTTTATTCTTTTCTTTCCCATCTCATTTAGATATTCCAACACATTTGCTTGTTTACTTACATCTTTTATGGTTGTAAATTCAAAATCTTTTTTAGGGGGTAAAAGAAGCTACTGGCAATGTCCAAGGGTTAAATTAACTAATTATAAAGAGTGTTGGACTGCGATAAAGCTTTTGAGTACATTAATAAAGACACAATTTTTGTAAATAAAAAAATATAGGTTTAGCTTTAATAATGATTACACAGAATACAAATGTAAACGTTTTGGAAAATGCTTTCATGAGTACAACAAACACACAACAAACATTCATATAGTATAAATTAAATTTACATAATGTAAATTTCCATTCTTCTGAGCTTTGTTTTTGTCAGGGATTTTTTCCCAATCTAAATGTTTTCTTTCATTTTAGGTAGGATACATATAATATATCTTATGTAAATTTAATTTACACTTGTATGTTAAAGGTGATTTAAAATTGAATAAGTAAATACATCCTATATAGATTTCAATTTTGTTTACATCAATTTTATGTAGTTAACTTTTATTTTATATATAAAGTCAACCTAGCTCTTTTTTGGTTTCAATTTGTTAGTATTTGGCAACAAGAAGTTATGGAAATCATTATGTCTTATTTATTTATTTATTTATTTAGGCATTTTTTTTATAGCGCTTACCTTAAAGCTCTAAGCACTTTACAATTAAAAACATTATTTAACTATTAAAAAGAATGTTGAACCAGTACTTACTGCAGGAGGTGGTCCTGTAATGGGAGGAGGGAAGAAAGGATTGTGTCCAGGTGGGGGGACATGACCGGGAGGTGGGGCTGCTGATACAGGTGCCATATTTGGAGGAGGTATACCTGAAAGCAGTTCAGGTAAGAAAAATTCTGAATTTAACTTAACCAATGGAAACAAAAAATGTGTGTATGCTGAAAATATTGGGATAGCTTAACATAAAATGTAAAACAAATCTGAACTAGTGGGCCATTTTTTCCATTTGCTGTCAGACTTGGCAAAAAATAACTAATTACAATAATGCCCACGAGACATTTACTTAGCAATAAAGATATTCTAGCTATATGTCACAGTTATTATGGTGGATATTAACATAATGATGGGTATATGTCATTCTGAAATAATATATAGAACCCATTTATTACGCTGACTGTTCCAAGATAAATTTATAGATTTTTTTGTCTTTTAAAGTACAAGTATTGACAATGTTAAAATCTAAGTTATATAATATATGTTTTGCTTCAAATCCTCCTAATGTAATATTAGAGATTATAATTCAAATAAATTTAAGTTTTCAAAACAAGAATTCCAGTTAAAATTGATGTTCATTTTTTAAAAATCATAAAGTATTTTAATTGCCTTTCATTTGTCATACTAGCATACAGATTTAAAATATTGATCTAAGAACAATAATTAGCATTCTGAATGTATCAAATCATACAATAGAAGACTTGAAATTCTTACCAGGTCCTGCAATATGTGGAGGTCTCAATCCTGGTGGAGGAACTGGTTGAGGTGGGATGGGGCCACCAGGAGGATATGTGGCTGAAAAATATATTAAAATTGGGAGACAAATAACAAAAAAATTGAAGTAAACAGTGTTCATTATCAAATTCACTGATAGTAATTACATGAATAATAAGCCAAAATGCATAATCTAAATAAAATGCCTCTGAAATAAAACTAAGAATGTTTCAATAACAAAGGAGTCTGCTTGGGATGCATAACATAAGAAGACAATGTACCTCATTTAGTATCTGTTGTTTTTTCTTTCTTGTTACAATGCATATTGAAGTTTAAAATATTATTCATTGTTTATAAGAGAAGATAAATTATTTCTGTTATTTGAGAACATAAAGTGCTGTACAAGCTGGGTAGCAAAAAAAAAAAGCAGCTGTTATCACCATGCATATGCTTAAAATAAAATGAAAAATCTTATCCAATGAAAACAAGAAAAGTTGAAACCAAGGGAACCCAATGTTTAAGATATAGGTGAACATTTTCATTTACAAATCCTAGAAAAAATTACATTTCACAATTTTAAATTCATTTAGTGAAACCAGCTTTATATCCATAACGTAATAAATGCAATGACCGAAGGGGATAATACAATTAACAAGCAGATTTAAAATTGTGATGCCCCAGTGAAAAATAATCTGGAAATTGTGTTGATAAACAATTTTTTAAACTCGAACATTGTCACACTAGGAAGAGAATCACTTTGCTGGCGTAATGTGGAGAACAGTTGAGGACACAATTACTGTGACGTGCTGAGTTTAAACCAATGCCAGAAAAAATAAAGACTTCCCAATCACCAACATTTGTTTGAATACATTCACAAAAAGATTATAACAAAGATGGAAAGTCATAGAGCTGTCTCAAAAAAAAAAAGTAGTTATTGACTTTTTTTTAAAAAGTTATCTTCATCATGAGTCCATGTGTATAGTTACAAATATTTATATTCAACCAGTCAAAATAAACCATAGAAAATGCTTTATAGTTGGTATAATGAAATAAAGTTGCAAGGTGTAAACTATAGCATACTTCCAATCCCCACTGATATTTAAATGAATTACAAAATCTTTTGAAAATAAACTTATTTTAAAAGTATTTGACTTTTAAAATAAATAATTTGTAAAAACAGACTTCAAGACCTAGGATAAACCTAAAAATAAAAGACCAGTAAGAGATTACTAGAATACTAGTAAGAGATTACTAGAATAGAGAGGCATGCTCAAAATGTTCATGGTCTATTGTAATATTAATTACTAATGCTGTGTAAGTTCAATATTTTATTGCCTGAATCTGAACATTAAAATTTAATCATTTAACAATAAATGTTTCTTACACCGAATTTTACTTGGTTGTGATTAACTTATTTACCTTAACTTATTCCATACAATCTATTCCTTAAGTCATTCGGTTATTATTTGCCAATACAGACTCCCTACATTTTCTCAAAAATTAAAATATAATTTCTCAATCTTAGTGTAGTGTGGGTATTGGACAAGCTGAATCAATATCCCACTTTGAGTTAACAAATAAGAAATAATGTCTATGGTCATCATAATGTTATATTACATGTGCAAAATTTCATTCAAATTTTTTAAAATTAAGATGGGAATATTTTCAAATGTAAATTTTATTGTATATAAGCTGAGTTTGTTTAAACATCCCCACTCACTTTGCCAACATTTAAGAGGAAAGTAAAAGGCTTTTTAATTTATCTTTATACATTAAGAAATAAAAAAATATATAGCTCTTCAAATGTTACTAGCTGCTGTTAACAGCAATTGTGACAATTCTTAAATTTTGTTGAAGGTAAGCCTTATTTAAGCTGTCCAGTAATCTTCATTACATTTAAGCATGTTGTATTCATTGGGTTTTTTTTTAAATTATATCCTTAAATTTAAAAAAATTATGCATTTTACTTCAGTGCACAGCTGATCAAACAAACCCATATTGACATTGCCAAGCCCTTTTTTTTTTAATAAAACAGATTAAAAAGGGAGGAAAAACAAAGTTAAACTTACTGCCAGGAGGAGGGGGTTGTGCTTAAATTTAGAATAAAAATTTAAGGTGTCAAAAATTGTACACTGACTAAATGTTTAACTTATAATGTAAGAAGAGTGGGAAAACTGAAAATTCAGTAACCGTTTTTAATTTCTAACACTCATGTTGATAAACTGCCCTGTAACTATTTCATTGTAAGACCTCAAAACTAATTAGTGGCATTTACAGTGAAAATGCATTATGACCAAGAATCAGAATATCACACACAATGACCTCCACCTTCAAGTTAATGAAAACATTACTAAATCTCTCTTGGTATACTGTTGAGGAAGGGTTAACTTCAAATTTACTGAATTTTTTTTCTCAAAATTTATTACCATTATGAGTTCCTTCTGTACTTTTTAAAAAACATTTATTACAATAAAAATTCGACACATCAAGAAAAATGGATTAAATCCATTAATCTTGATTTTTAGCAAATGAACCTTTTTCTGAAACAGACAAAATCTTGTGTCTGGCTAACAAGTGTGATCTAAACATATTAATAACAAACTAAAAGCACTCAAGTTCTGGAAGCCAAATTGGTTAATAAATTAATGCTCAAATTTACAATAACATATTTGAGAAAAAAAATCTGATTTATAATACTGTTACCACATCAAGACAAGTGAGCAGAGAAAATGTCTTTTAAAATAAACATGAAGTGCAAGTTATTCAAATGTGTCCTATAATAAAACAGCCCAAGAAAATCTTTTTCTTTTTACAGATGTTTTTGTTCTTTCCTTAACTGCATCATGTAATTGAAATAAATATGGAAGAATGTTGGAAAACCCCCACCACCCCCATGGCAAAATTGTTTTTAGTAGCTTTAAAAACAACACTAGTTTGCCTTTTTTTTTTGAAAAATAAAATTAAGCTATTATTGTTGAAATATACTGAAGTTTAGAAAATACTTCTGGCAGTTGAAAAAAAAAACACAATGGTAAATATACAAAACATGACAGTTTTCATTCAACATTACTGTAGTTATTAATTTAATCTTCATGATCAGAAACAAAGCTAATGAATTAAATGTAGCTGGAATTAGTAGTTGATCCAACTTATACAACAAGTATCTTATGAGCTGGCATACCACAGGCAAAAGTTAACAAACCTAGCGGTCCTGGTGGTGGGCCGCGAAGAAAGTCCTTGTTCTGTGGGGGCCCACCTGGCATAGGGGGCCTCCCTGTAAACATGAAAAAAATTAATCAAACACACAGTAGACAGGTCTAGATCTGAACTGAATGACAGAACATCCATTGTGGATGAAAGCAATCTGACAAAGTATATAAATGGTCAATTTTGTTCTTGAAAGTAGCCTTTTCTCCATGCAAGTCATTGTTAACAGAATATAAGAGATTGATATTTTACAATTGCAATAGTAAATAATAAGCTGTTAACCTCCTGGTTAAAATAATATCCTTTGGGACATTTTTTTAATAAAAAACCTTAATTGGGAGGAAAAAGTGTAATTTTTCTGCAAAAGGGGGAATTGACATTGGTACATAACAAATAGAATATAATCAAAATCAGTATTTTCATTCAATGTATCAACCATATACTAATTGCAAATTTAAACTGGAACCAGACCTGGTTACCCTCGAAATTCCTAAAATCTTACAATATCGCCTCAAATTGTACAATACAGTTTCTTAAAAAATAAATAAACATCCATTATATATAATGTTTACAATAACTACTCGCATTGAGAGTCTAGTGGGATCAAGTTAAGATGATGTAAAAAAAAAAAATTAAAAAAAAAAAAAAAAAGTAACTTCCACAAGTGGATGACTGGCGTTTATATTGCAATCTGCTGTCCCTTTGTTTCGCAGACATGTATCAACTATAAAAATCAATTAAAATTTGGGTGAACAACCACATCACATAATAAGGCTGTCACTGGTAAAAATAAAGTTACTTTCCAAATTAAACGCAATTCAAAATTGAAGTCAGATCAGCATAAATTTTTTTAAATTGAAATAAGAATTACAAATTGGGACAACATTTACAAAACCAAGTAACTTGTTTCCCATTATGCTATTTCCCATTAACATATTATAGTCTGATAAGTACCATAAGCTGTAAGGAAGGGGAGTGTTTAAACCAAACAGGGGTAATAAAATTGTACAGCTGTTTTGTGTGTTCTCAAAATGCAGACTAAAATAATGTCACAAAAATTACGTCATACAGCAGCACCAAAGCAAACCACAAAAGTGAGGATTCACTAAAATTGTCACTAGGGCGACTACACTAATAACTAATAATACTGTTTCCATGTCTAGTTAGTTCATTACGAAAACAACATGACCATCACCACCATCATTATAGAAAACGTGGTGTTGTCAATTTTATAAACTTAAATATTTATACCAACCCCCAGCACACAAAATCTCCTAAATCAACAACACCCCCTTCCCATCTCAGGGCAAACATAATATAATTATAGATGGTCCCCAATCAATCGTGTTTCTGGATTCATTCACCGCTGGCTGTAGAAAGAATAATAACAACCAAAAATGTTCTTTTTAAAACCCACACAAGTAAAAATCCTACCATGAGAAGCTCTTCAAAATATTATGCAGTTAAACCTAAACAATATCTCTTTTTAACAGTGGCAGTGAGAGAGCGGTGACAAAACAAAGATAAACATTGCACACTAAGACAGGCAGTTGGAAGACTATGAAAAAATAACTTAAAGGAAATAAATGGCAGTTTACGAGCACATTGTGCAAACTTTCATAAACTTTATGGATAATGATTTGAAAACAATCCAACAGCTTTGAGAAAGGAAGCTGATCACATGAATAATATGTTGTGACAAAAAGTGTCATGTTAAAATTGTTTCAATAAATCAATAAATAATGGACAGCCACATTAAAATGCAAGTCGCATCATTCTAATAGCAAAAAAACACTGGGGGGGCCTTTATTTAAAAGAGTTAATTAAAAATATATCTACTTTCAGTTGTCTATGCTTAGATCACACTTAAGCTTGAATTTAAAAAATAGTTCTTTATCCTTGATACAAAACTTTTTTAAATGCTTTTAAATAAATTGGTTTTAAGGGGTGACTGAGAAATAAACATTATTACTTTTAATGGTAGCATTTAAATATAAACATAATGCTAGTGAGATAGATCATAATTTATGCAACACTAAATGTAAAGTGTTTAAAATATCTATATTTTATATGGACCTGTAAATGAGCAATCTCGAACCCATTGTGATCAAAATTAAGAAAACTATCTGATAATCACAATGCTTGGATTCATGTGAAAAAAAAATATTTTTTTAAATATATATTACAACTCCGCAAAAAAATTTTTTTTTAAATAAATGCGTTTTTTTTTACAAATTATTTTAAACCAAGCATAAGTTTGTATGAAAATTTCATTTTTCTTATCCCCAAATCTGTGTTCCAGTTAGATACATGTTATATTGTTTCTCTATTAAATCACGTCTTCACATGTGAGGATTTATTGTAACTAGTGAAGCAAGTTATAATCACAGCCTTTAAATTATAGTTAGATATGTTAATGGCAGTCTTACTGAAACATGTACAGAAGAGATGTTAATGATGGGTAAGTTCTAACTAAATTGGAAACCATGTGAGGAGAAGCATGTCACTAACAGCAGCGCTTTTATTATTTTTTTCTTGACTATCTCTTACTTGAGGTACTTTATATCCACATAAAAATACATCAGTAAAATGAGATCTAGTCAAGCAAATGATGCATCCATAGCTAAAATACCTTCCTAGAAAATCTATTAAGTTAAGAAATGCTTGGAACAATAGAAATCAAGTTAAACTATAATTCAATGAGTGCACATGTTAGTTTTAATGGTAGAATTTCAAACACCAGTAAACAATTTTAGGACTAAACTATAATTTAACTCACCAGGTCCTGGGGGTCTTTCCCATTCTGGTCTCATGGGAGGTGGAGCTCTAGTATCTAATGGTGGAGGTGGTCCCCGTAAATGTGGTGGTGGTAGACCCATTCTAGGAGGCTGTAATGTCAAGACAGAAAAATACATATGAAAACATAAAGAGATAAAATTTATTCAATGTACTTTTACACAACAGAAATCACTTTAAAAAAAAATATTTGGTTAATGAGGGAAATGTGAAAGAATTGTAAATAAAAACAAAATATCCCAAATTTAATCTTATATATACATTTAATTTCCAAGTTAGAGCATTACATTTAGGTTAATGAAGGGTGGAAAAGTCACCAAATAATATATTTCTAAATACAAAGTAAGATTTTTTAAATTAAAATTTTGGTCTAATGGCTGAATGATTTAGGCTTCCTAATTCATATTTTCGTTCAAAAAATTGTCTAAAAAAAAAAAAAAAGACAATCAATGATTACATTTGACATGTTAAAAGCTACCTCCATTCTAGGTGGAGGGCCCCTATTGCCAGGCGGACCAGGCTGGCCAGGTCGAGGTGTAAGATTTTTTAAATTAAAATTTTGGTCTAATGGCTGAATGATTTAGGCTTCCTAATTCATATTTTCGTTCAAAAAATTGTCTAAAAAAAAAAAAAAGACAATCAATGATTACATTTGACATGTTAAAAGCTACCTCCATTCTAGGTGGAGGGCCCCTATTGCCAGGCGGACCAGGCTGGCCAGGTCGAGGTGGCATGGGAGGCATTCCAGGTGGTGGTCCTGTAACTGGAGGTAAGGTTCCAGGAGGTGCTGTAGACAAGTAGTCAGTGCAAGCTCTCACAAGCTCTGTGATATTTTGAAACAGATCGGGGAAGAATGAAAGACAATGGTAATGAATATTTAAGTTAATTAACGGTTTGAATAATAACGTAATGAATTATAAAAACATGCTTTAAAACATGTCAAATAAAAAATGGTACACATTTTGACATAACAAAAGCAAATCAATGCTGTGAAAACATTAAGGGTGTGTGACTTATTGTAAAAGACTGAATCTATTTGTGGCGGTAAGCTTCATTTGATTAAGACACTAAAAAACATTGTCAAATGTGTATTCCAACAGCTTTTCTCAACAAAGTGAAGAATTCTAAAGTTTAAGCAATTTTCAGTGTTACTTAGTGATTTATAATAGAGAACCCCAACCGTGCTGATATTATACCAATCAAGTCCTATCTCTTTTTTACACCTGTATACTACACAGACTTAATTCACTTTTTTGTTATTGGAAAGCAATGTGGGTAAAAAAATGTTATATTAAAGCAATGAATTTTTTTCCGTTTCATATCATACTAAAACATGTTAAAGGAACAAAAATGAAATGTGCTATAGCATTAAGCTTAAAAAATACAAACTAATAAACTAAATTAAATGTACTGCATTATATTATTCGCCTTAATTTAATTAAGTTTACAATTGTATGAGCTAGTTGAAAAAACATCTGGCGACATCAAAAAGCAGCATCAATAAGTATTAAGTACTTTTGTTAAAGAGGATACACTGGCATTGTCATTATAATTTGTTAAACGTGAAAACTTCAGGCCCAAATGGTTTCTACTCCAGACTCTTCTTTGGTATGACCAGAGAAATAGGATACTGACATCTATCATTTAGTTTAGTTATTAGAAACTCGCATGTAATTTTTAAAAAAGAGCATTACAAATTTTCTATTGTATAAACAAAAAACAAAAACCAGCAAAAAAATAAATAAAGGTAACCACTCAAATTGAAGCTTGAGAGGTATTTTGTAACTTACGAGCAAAATTTAAGGGACCAGTGGGCCTTGGAGGAGGCCCTGTAACTGGTGGAGGTCCTGGTCTTGGTGGTGGAGGGCCAGTAAGACGTGGTGGAAACCCAGGTGTACCAGCAGGTGGTCCCCCAGGAGGTGGGCCTCGTTTATCTGAGAAGTTATTAACATTCTTTAGTTTTTAAACGATGACGTTGAGGGCGAATCATTCTAAAATGTATGTTTCATATATACTATGTCTGTAAGACCTCAGCCCAGAAACCACTATATCAATTATAGTTATGATTTAAAAGACCATTTCATTCATTTTATCAGAGCCCTTCCATTCCAGCACTATTTATAATGTTTCAAAATGATATTGATGAGTGATAAAACTTTGAGAAACAAGAATAAAACCAGCCAAGTTAAACAAAAATATGTGCAATCTGTCTATGGATCAGGTCTATTAGTCAACCTGACTTTTAAATTTAGAAACACAAGGAAAAAAGTCTCTTCTTTTTTGGGTACCTTTTGTGAAAAAAAATTTTTTTAAAAGAGATAATGAATAATAGTAGCTGATTGAATCAAGATGATTTATTTTTGAATGAACTAATTAACAGTGGATACATTTAACACAACCGCTCATCTCATGGTAATCTAGGAGGTCAATGTGATAAGTATTTAAATTCAAGCTCCAATATATTTCCACCCTTTAAGTTCGGTACCATTTCTAAAGCTTCCATTTGGTGTTGGATCCCGACCTGGCTGTCCACGTTCGTCTCTTCTTTCTGCATCACCGGGGCCACCGCCTCCAGTTTTGCGAGCTTGTGCTTCAAACTGACTTAATGCTTGTTTAGTGAAGTGACTAACTTGGGGCACTTGTCCATGCAATTCTTTACGAGATAGTCGGTCAAAGATTGTACGTGATGACTGCTCAGAGCCAACAATAATGAGAGCAAACCTGCAATTTTAATGCATTATCTGAGCATTACAAAGGTAATTCTCAATAAATAAAATAAGCAAAACATTCAATAGTCAGTTTTATGTCACTTTAATAGTTAGATGAGGATCACTTTATGGTAAAGCTTGAACTCCAATTTATCAACCTCACAAGAGATGTCAAATTTTAAATGATCCATAATTTTGATTATTGAAATTATAGAAGGAAATATATTCATGCTTCACTATAATTGAACCAATATAATTAAAGTAGAATGGAAGAAATAGATGTCAAACGAAAAATATAAATTTACAAAGGGCATTTTGTCTAACTTTCACAATGTGTATCACATATATTTGCATCAGTTTCTTCATTCTCTATGCAATTTTACTTCCTTCACATTAATTAAAAATTATTTTAAAAATCTCTTGATTCCATTTCATCCGTTAAATGTATAAGGAAAATTTTAAATACCCTTTTGATTGTCCATTTGCTCTATTCTCATAAAATTTTATCTCCAATAAATCCGACACACCAATGGAGCTCATAGCATCCGTAAGGTCTTGATCAGTTGTCCACTATAGATGTAAAAGAATTTAACAAGATTATGGCAAAATATTAAATTTATTAAGTAATAACTTTTAAAATATTTTTAAATTTTGCATTCAGAATATTATTAACATGAATACTAAAACAAAAATACTGTAACTCTTGATAACTTGTGCTACGTGGCTAAGCTCTGTCGGAGTTACATTAGCCTGTAAATGGTAAATAAAGTTGACTCTATGCACTCAAGAAAAGAAAAGATAGATAGTGATTTGTTTGTACATGCATAAGAAAGCTTCAAACATTGCCATCAAAAGCAAAAGAAATAATGCATTATTCAATATTACGTCATTTAATTTATTATTGTTATTAGTATTATTAGAAGCAACCTACCCAGGTTAGGTTGCCAATATAGAGCATATGTTTTTTTCCAGTGTGAGCAGAAGCTGAAGTCGATGAGGGAAGTGATGTGCTGTTTGATCTTGAGGGAGTCTTACTGCCTGAAGTACGATCCATGGGCTAAAAAAGGAACACAAAAAAATCATTTTAATGGACATTTTTAATGTAATTTATTAGGTTACACTGAATTATCTTATGGGTAAAATTTTGTCTTCTCAATAGATAACTTATGTTCTAAATTAAACACACTTTTAACAAACTGAATAGGTTTGTCAACGAAACTTGTAGTTTTTCGATCAAAAAAAATTTAAAAGGTTGAAACCAATGTTCCAGTTCCGGAGTATATTTACTTATATATGAGGGAAGAATATTTTGATAAGTGATTAAATAAGTATACCTCTGCACTTGAGCGTGTTGATGATGCAGCAATGACATCATCATATAGGTCTCCACCTCCATCAAAATCTGCATCCTGCATAATTTAAACAAATATATTTAATGTTAAACTAAACACATTCCATATCTGAAAGTGGTTTGTAACACTCACATTTAATTATCTCTGGTATACTGTTATTAATAGTATAATAGTCTATATGATATATGGCCTTCTGTTATCCTAATATGATAATATTAATAATAATATATTAATTCTTCTTTTTTGAAATATGCAGGCTGTAGAGTTAACAAAATAATGCCCAACACCACCCTTAAATACTGATGATGGTTAGGAGGGCAACAAAGGTTGAACAAGTCATCACTGCTACACTCCGCTAGATTTATTGATATCAAGCTTATTTGTAGGACAGTCTTCATGAGCCATCTGGAGGCAAAAACGTTTAAGGAAAATTGCCCATCTTTATCACCCACCTCAGGTGTCCACTTCTGGAACTTTTCAGATAAGATTTAAATTTAGGTGTCCAAATATGAAACCCTGATTACAAATTACAGATATTTTAAAGACTCAAAAGTGGGTTTACTCTACCAATTAATATTCCTCACAAGAAAAAGACATTGGCACTCTAAGAAAAGATGCTATATACTTATGGTAGCTAAATAAATTTTCTAGAATGCCTCTAGACGAGACACATTGCTTCACTTTTTCAGGACTTTTAAAATCAAGGAAAAAAATCATACAATCGTTCATAGTAAATTGATGAAAAATGTGCATAATAGCTAGGAAATTTAACAAATGGATTAATTTCTTCACCTTTCTTGGTTAATTTTGTTCTTGTATATTGTGTTTTAATATTGTTTTTACTTTTATAAATTCATACTTTTTTTCATATTACCGGGTATTCCTGCTAATTGCTATTTCATATATTTCTATTTCTAATACTAATAGCCTTGGTATAATTACTATTACAATCATGGCCAAAGTCCCAAGTCTTAGTGGGTAGTCCACCCACACATATTATTATTAATTATATCTTTTCAAATTTGATATAAAATCACAGCTTACAACAACCCCCCCCCCCCCCCCCCTAACAATCTCTGATGCACAAGCCAATTTTTAGATTTCTTCTTGTTTATATTTGCTATCCCATTTTTTTTGCCCAGTCTTGAATCAAAGTTATACCTCCCTGCAGTGTACGTTAACATTAATAATCTGTTCGTGGCAGAAGCAGGTTATTAAAAAGCAAAATGACAAATAGTTCACCATTGGCCAATTGATCGATAGGCCTCTTACTGTAAGACTCTTACTCAAATTATATTAGCGCTCACTCATCTGTTCATTGTCAGTGAAATGTAGAGTAGGCTATATTGATGTAATTAAGACTAAGATGTTCTTGTTCCATCCATTTTATATATATTAAATATGACTTTTTGTAAAGATGGCCTAGCTGGAACTGTAGGCTAGCCTATATTGTATATATGACGTCACATCCCAAACAAAACATGAAGACCAAAAATCAAAAGTGGACAACAAAATTTTATTTTATAGACAAAGATTGAAAGATTAATAATTAAGTGAAATTTTTAGTGAGGAAGGGATTTACTTTTATTTGAAGTAATAATAATAAGTAACATCTGAATGCCCCTTCCAACCGTCATTATTATGTGGGTTGATAGGCCAGTGATTCAGACAAATTTAAGAGGGAAAACTGACTCGCCATGCACAAGCTGGACTGCATGTCATCACTGACAGCAAAAAACTTGCTTTTTGCAATCTCCCTATCAGACTATCAGAGCCTATCATATTTTACTTTACAGAAAGTATAATGGATTTAAAAGGAAAGGTTTTTTTTTAAGAATGAAGCAGAAATAATAAATTTTTCGAAAAGCAATGATTTTAATGTCCGATTAATGATACTGAATTAATCAAACTTACTTGACTAAATTCATCTTCGATATTGTCATAAAGATCAATGTCGACGCCGTCAGCCATTTTTTTATAAGAATAATCAACTGTGGGCAGAATAAATAGTTATACAGAACGTATTAACGTACTCGATACCATATTAGCTCCTACAAAACTTGTCAATATACTAGCATAAATGATGTTAGAATTTAGTGATACACCACCGCATTATAGTATACCAATAACACTAATAGCAAAATCATTCTTTTTTAATAAATAAATAGCTATTAAACTTATTTTGTTTCTAATGTTAGTTTAACAGGCATGAATACTCTAGAAGAAAAAGCCATTTAATTTAAATTAATATCAAATGTATAGATAATAATATATGCAAACTATTAATGTCAGATTTAAAGATCAAAATATGTGTAAGCTATTTTATCAATTTCATATTTCAGTCACAAGGAAATATTTAATAGGTAATTTATTGGTAGTATTAGGAACTAAGAAAAATATTAAGATAAACGTACTGCAAATATTAAGCTAAATATCGATACCGCCCTATTTTGCTAACCGAGTCGTTGACCAGGTATAGATATTTATATATTTACCAAATATACTGTGTAAATTATAATAACACATGTATATTTTTAAGCCATAATATGATGCATTTTAACACTTAGCTGATGATAATAAAATGGCACGATTATTTTATTTTTTTCCCAGCCTGAATATTTGTAATTGTTTAGGGAAACAAAAATTGAAATACTAGACCATTAAATCATTGTTCGTTTTTTTTTAAATTTAAATATAAGTTGTTTTTTTAATCATATCTCTAGGAATTTTTTAATTGTCAGCCGTATGACTATTCAAGAGTGTGTTTGAGAATAACATAATAAAAACATTTCCATTTCATTTTATGAACTATCAAACAATTTCTCCTACCTGGCAATGAAACCAAGCTTATGCCAATGGCTTGCCCGTTGCGCCACCTAAGGGAAATCAGTTGTCATGATTGGTTTAGCGCGTAAATTAATGCTGGATTTTATGTAGACTATATTGACCGCCTCTCCTCTCATCCAAATAATCAAATTTTTTTTTTCAATATAAATAATTCATGATTAAAAAAACAAAATAATGTTTAATTAAAGTATTATTCTTCATGTTAATTATGATGCTAATGATGTTGTCTTTTTTAAATTATTATTTTTCATAAGGGGGGGGGGGGGAGGAGAAAAATCGACATAATACATAGCATAGGCCTAATACACACAACCCAACATCTTTATGTATTATGTAATGTATACATCTAATGTTAGGGCTGAAAGCATAATTAAGAGGGCGCCGAAAAGCCTAGTTTGGCTTGGGTTGGCGGTGTAAATATACACAAATTTGTACTTGTAATGATTTTAGTTTTTTTTTATGAATTAGAACACACAATTTCCCAAAATTAATCCACTGTATCTATTAACGGCAATTTACGAATCACACGCTACTTATACTATAGCCCAGAGGCGTAGCGTAGTGGGGGCAGGGGGGACAGATGTCCCCGGGCGCCAGCTAGTTAGGGGCGCCAAAATGTGCTTTGATATTATTTTATAGATGAAAATAATGGGTTTGAGAGTTGAAAAAAAGAAAAAGGGGCGCCAAAAATGGATCTTGTCCCCGGGCCCCAAACACCCTCGCTACGCCACTGCTATATCCTACTCCCAGATAGCTTCACCCTCCCAGCAGTGGCATAGCGAAAGAGGGGGGTGGGGACAGGTGTCCCCGACAGACTAATTAGGGATGCCAAGATGGGCTTTGATGGTATCTTATTGAGAAAACAATGGGTTTCAGAGTTTTAGGGTGGGGGCGTAAAAATAAATATTGTCCCCGTGCGCAAAACACTCTATTTACGCTCTGTCTCCCAGGGGGGTGACACCAAATGGAATAATTCGAATTCAAAATAATTAACTTAATCATTTTCATAACTGATCAGAGCTAAACACAAGAGCAGGTTGCCACCAGCACAATATGTCACCAGAGCAGTTTGGTTTGCCTTCAGGTGCATACCTCAGTTTAGTTTTGCATTATCTACACTTGATCGGAGAGCAGCAGACGAGAAGCTAGAGAAAATGTACTCACTGTGGGTAAGCGTTAATCAGCTTTTCATCCCCTTGAAAATTCATTGCACTCTCAGAGGATGATAAGATGACATTAAGTGGCAAATCATATGGAAAAAAACCAGTGATGTCAGTTTTTCAAAATTCCTATGTTATCTCTCTTGTGGCTACATTTCATTTAATAGAATAATATGATACATAGGTCCAACTGAAAAAGCAGCGTAGTCAATAAATAAATACGTAGACATCTTGATATTTTCATACTTTTATGAGGAATTTTCAAACTTAAAATTCAATTTTCTCAAAACCTGACATCACTGGTTTTTCCCTTGAGCCCTTCATTTGATATTGGCCATGTTATCCAATGCTATGGGTACTGAAATATTTTGCTTTTTATTTATTTAATTTTTTTTTTTAATTTATATTTTAGATGGGAATCGTTAACCTTGGATGGCAACTCATCTAAGAGAAGGCACACTCTGAAAGCAAACCCGCAGATGGAGTCCCGTGGGCGCTGTGACATTGTCACAATGAAATTTACAACTCCTGCGATGTGGAACGCGTAAGAAGCACAGTGAGGCACAAGAAAAAACTGAAGGTCATCCACTGCATCCTGCATGGTCTATTTTCCAGTCTAACTACCAACTAAGTCTTGCCATAGGAACACATATGCAAAGGACGAGATGGTGACGCTAACGAATTGATCAACTCCCCCACGCTCTTAACAAAATACAGCTCAAGTCAAGGCTGCCACTTGAGTCGAAGAACTTCGCGTGGAAGAACAATACTATTTGGACTGCAGATCGACACCTTCAATTTGAAGTTGAGATTGATAGCTCATTAACAAAAAAAAAACAACAACAACACAGTCGAACGAATTTTGGTCGATTCTTTTTTTTTAAATTATTTTTTATCTGGCATCGCGATCGGTGCATGTGTCCTGAACTGCTGTCTCAAATCAGAAAACTCTCTTTCTTTACACAAATACGTGTGGGATGGGCCAGATAAATCGAAGCCGCGGACCGGATCCGACCCGTGGGCCGTAGTTTGCCGACCCCCTGGCATAGAGAGCGTTGGCCCACCCATAGTATTTTAGTTTTACGAGCCACGTCGATCGCGAGTCAAATATCCGCGGGTCACCTGTCATGTCACCCAATTACGCAAACAGATCCCCAATAAACGAATCACAGATTTATTTATTTTTAACGCACATAATTAGCAGATGATACTATATTTACTCCTGCCGCCACACACACACACATAAACAATTTTAATAATAAATTTAATAGTTTAATTTGAAATCTAACGCCTTAATATAATTTTATTAATAGCACTATCAAAAATAATAAAATTCTCTAGGTATGTTTGTATATGTGTATTGCAGGGATATCATTTGGGTGAGACATTTGCACCCCCGCCCCGCCCCCCCCCCCCGAAAATGCAGGTTTTATTTAATTTGCTATGTCCTGTGGCGCCTCCACTAATAAACAACTTAACAAGCCGACCAAGTTTTGGGTCGCCCCCCCCCCCCACGAAAAAAAACTGAAATGACGCGCCTTGTGTATTGCTGTAACGCTGTGTTCAATCGGCGGAGCGCAAATGAAGTCCATAACGTGAATGCACGTTGTTTTTTTTCAAGTAACTTAAGTAAATATGATGTACACGCATTGTCTACTGCGCTGTTGCATTGTTTGGTGGGTTATTTCAGACCGTACCGAGGACGCCCACCGAACTCACCCCATTGAAAGTAGTGGAGCGGTCTCGGGGGGGGGGGTGCTGACCCCCACCCCCATTTTTTGTTTTTGAATTTAAATTTCAAAGTGCTGGGGTGCACCTATTTTTTTTGTTCACCAATAAAACAATATCAAAGCACATTTTGGCGCCTCTAACTGGTCCAGCGCCCGGGGACTTCTGTCACCCTCTGCTCACCCTTAGCTACGCCTCTGTGTGCATTTGGCGCATGCCTGACTCTAAACCCGGACATAGAACAAGAGTGATGTTTCTCAATTTAAAGTAAATATTTGAACAGTGTTTATGCGAAAGGGGAACCCGCCCCGGGCGCCTCCTACATAGGACGCCTAAATCGCCATTTTTCATACAAAAAAATGTATTACACTATACTCTTCCCTCAGAAGAGGTTGTCGACCCCTGGTCTACTTCGTTCAGAGGCGTAGCTAGTGTGTTTAACGCACGGGGACAAGATTCATTTTTACGCCCCTCCCTCCTGCCCCTACTCTGAACCCCAGTATTTTCACCAATAATGAACCATAAAAGTCCGTTTTGGCGCCCCCCCCCCACACACACACACACATTTCTGGCACGTGGGGACATCTGCCCCATCCTTTCAACTACGCCTCTGACTTCGTTAGTGTATTATAACTTCAATATATCACGTTGTTCATTGATATTTTATTGTACCGATCACGTCTGTTTGTGACCGTCTCGTCATTCTTAGAGTGTAGGAGGTAGTTAAAAAACGAACTATAGCCAATATTCAAGGGGAGACGATCAACGGTGAGTCATTAGTTAAAAAGAGAACGGCGACCAACAGCTAAGGTCTGAGGACAGAAACTCGATCTGCCGATCCGATAGTCACTTGTGGCCTTGACATCCTATAGGTTGTTATTTTGTCTATGTCTATAATCATGAGAAGAACTTAGGTCCCCCTTTTTTTAGGCCTACTTTCCTTGGCTAATTGTATAAGGCCTTCTTCGTGCCTTGGCTAATTTTATTAGGCCTTCTTGCCTTGGCTAATAGTATAAGGCCTTATTGCCTTGGCTAATTGTATAAGGCCTTCTTGCCTTGGCTTATTTGCATAAGTCATAAGGTCTTCCTGACTTGGTTAATTTGTACAAATGGTATTCTTGACTTGGCTAATTGTATAAGGCCTTCTTATTTCACACTAATTCCCTAATTAGAAAATGGACGGAATATTGCTTTGTTAGAGGAAAATAATCTCACAAAGAACCATCTCTTTCAATGTAAGAATATAGGCCAAGGCTTGGCATCTAGTCAATCAGCAACGAAGGCGTACAGAGGACAGGTGTCGAGCACATGTGGCGCCCCACGGCACAAACTAAAATTTCGCTTGAGAAACTTTTCTTTTTTTCTTTCAAAATAAATATTTAGAATAATTAATATTTACTGTCTGTATAGAAGAACGAAGTGGCTATTCGGACCCGGGTCCGCGAAGTGAGAGGTTGGGATTAAAATTCAAAATAAAATATTATTGTTAGGGTGTAAGACTAAATTTGGTATCAAATGAAAGATAATTGAATGGACTAACAATATGTCAGCTAACAATATGTCGTCAGGGTTAGGGGCGGCACTTATTTGGGGGGGGGGTGCATATTTGGTCTACCTCATAAACTTTATATAGCTTAATATTTTTGCGTTTAGACCTATTCTTCGGTAAACTGATATACAATGTACATTTTGCCGGTCCGTGGAGGCACAATTTCAAGCTCATATGGTAGTAAGGTCAAAGTGAGCTCTACCGCGATATACTGGGAAAATGGCTTTTAATTAGGGTACATTTTTTGGAGAGGAAACAATTTTAAAACATAATTTTCCAGTATAAACCTTTTGTCCAAAGAGCTAATGTCATGACTGAAATTGTAACTCAAACTTAAAGACACCACATTTAAAAAGAAAACAAGTTTTAAAAATCCCTACTTCTCTGTCCTCTTGGTCTATCTATCGTTTCAGCTGGTGACCCCATTTGAGGTCACCTCCCATGGCCTGGAAACAGAGGCGTAGCGAGGGTGTTTTGGCGCCCGGGGACAAGATCCATTTTAAAGCACCCCCTTTTCTGTCTTTTTTTTTTCAACTCTAAAACCCATTATTTTTACCAATAATATAATATCAAAGCACATTTTGGCGCCCCTAACTAGCTTGCGCCCGGGGACATCTGCCCCCGCCACCCTCGCTACGCCTCTGCCTGTAAACTTTGCACTCAGTTCAGTAACTTGATTATTCAAAGATGTTCATGTGTGAAACTACCTCTATTGGTTGTAGCCGTTTCCTTTTTTTTTTTTAAATTTTAACTCCAAAAATAAACATAGTAAGACACACATTTAGTATTCCCGAGTTTTGTTATTCGAAACGAATCCCTTGTTAAAAACATTTGCTTGTAAAAATTTAGTTAATTCAGGGACGGAGTCGAAACTAGAATTAGCGACCGGTAAAGAATGCAAAGCTAATTTAAATAAGTGTTGAGTTTCTTTCTTCAGGTTATTAGATCTATATCCATCTCTTGCTTTTAACTAGCATATTATTAGTAGCTAGTTATCCATTAGTACGATTACTAGTAACTAGGGATAATCAGTGAAAAATTAAGCACCTCTTAGCAAGTGCCAACCTCTCAACTAACCAACACACACTGCAATCAATACACGTGACTTGGGCTGTTTACTGTTTACTCTTCGTTGCAGCCCCCCCCCCCAACCCGTATTTCGCCCATGTCACTGTGGTCTATTCGCCAAGTGTTAACTTAGGCAGACGGACGCCTGAATTGTTTAGGACAGTGCAGACCAGTTTAATTTTTACGTACAATTAACACACTATCTATATATCTATTGATGGTTTTTGTTTTTTTAAAAATGATTTTCATTATATTTGACAAATCACGGACCCGTATATCATGGATTAAAATAAATATCGAGGAGGAAAACATATTAAAGAATTAAATTTAAAGTTAAAAACTTCTTGTTTAAAATGAAAATGTGGTAAACATTTGTCAAATAAGATAAAGTTGTAAATGCAAATTTTTACCAAAATATTTCAATTTCTGAAAGTTCCCAAGTGACCCCCTGGCTTATTGTCCAGCACCCACAGATTGAGAACCAGAAGCCTGAACCATAACACAGTTCCCACAGAGGCAGCTTAATTAAAGAGGGATTGGTGTTTCCTTGTCTGTTCCTTCAAGCACATGAGAACTCAATGAAAAGTAATGATTGCTATCAAACAAAGTGTGGGTGGCTTCTTTCTGAATATAAAATAATAGATGTTTGCAGTTTTTACTTGAAATTTTATATTTTCTTCATTTTTTAAATTTAAAACACTTTTAATTAACCAACAGCACATTTTTAAAGCATATTGTTGTTACAAATGAACATGTGTTGAACTCAATAAAATTTTACACTGTGAAACTAAATAAAATATGCAAGTTGAAAAGAATAAAACAATTGAAATATAATTCCTAAGACCATAGTCCTTGTGTGTGTCCTGCAACAGCAGGATATTTAAGGGGCCAAACGTTCTGATAAGGAAAAAAAAAAAGAACAATCAACTTTGTATGGAGGGGGCACAAAACTGAAAAGTGTTAGGGGGGCTCCAAAAGTGACAGCTCTGCCTCAGACCCCCCCCACAAACAAATAACATTGATTAATCGCAATGTATTTTTTAAATTTTAAATTAAATTTGGATTAACTCTATTCTAAAAACTCAATACCGGTACTGTAAAATTTTAACATCACAAATGAACATGACAACAAGACAGTAATGAAAGACCACACATTTATTTGTCAAAATTTCTGGCATCATATGGATCATGATGTATATCAATTTTACAGGAATATAATTTCACAGTAATAACTTTGCTGTGACTGTGTGGTTAGAGAAATGAAAACTTAAATTTCATAACAAAATGAACCCAATACCCATTAACGATTTATTTGACATGAAGAACACATGAAATTTTGAAGTGCACGAAATTAACAAATGAATTCGATGACATCACTTGAAACATTTTGGAAAGTGATAACATGTCAACAAACAGTAGGAGTAGAAAAATGTTCATCCTTGTCAGCATTCTGGGGCCATTGTCAAAGAGATGATTCCAAACTGTAGTGAATGTACTGTATGAATGAGAAAACAATTGTTCAAGGTTCCATATCAACTTGTCATTGAGAGATTTTTATGAAGTGATCTCAACTGAAACAAATAAGAAAATATAAATAACAATCTTGTGACAGTCAAAATAAGTATGTAAAATTATTATTATGATAAACATTTAAGTAGGCCAAGTATATTTAATTCATCAGACTTGAACTTCAACTCAAAGATTAAATTTAAACTGATAAAAATAGGCTCCAGTCTTAGTCTTAGAATTAGCTTGGTCTACAAAAATAAATGTAAAAGAGGACAAACCTATGTCATGGTACTATGATACTGCACTAAGACTTGTTTGTCATTTTACATGGTCATGTTTCACAAATGACAAATGTCAACCCCCACAACAATTTTTATACAATTATTTAATCTATAAAAATTGTGTATTTTCCTTTTTTTTAAATATTTGTAGGTCTAATTAAACAAATTCATAATATGGCATTGCCAATTTGTCATCACATAGTACAGTTCACATGAGTCAGTCATGTCATACTCATGCAATAGGCTATACCTTTTACCAGTACCGGCAAGTATAATATTAAATATGTAAAATTATCATAGTTTTTTAGTGACAGTAAAGTTAGTCCTTACAATTAACAATACTAATACATTACAATTACTAATTAATACGTAAATCGTAAAACAACTTAGGTTAATTCAAATAAAAATCAATATTAATTAATGAATGGGCAATGGACAATAAGGCCAAACTTGTCATTAAACTAAAAATTATAACCAGTGATTTAAATTATTTCACTTGACAGTGGCGGTCAGTGGGCCTTACTTTACTTTAGGCCTAGGTGTTAAGTTTAGGCGTTAGTCTACCTTAACTACCTAACGGACTTAAGTAAAATAAAGAAGTATTACCAAATTACCTTACTCTAAGTTACTGCCGTACTTAACTTACTAACTAACTGTATTAAGTATTGATTTACTGACTGTAGGCACTGTAAGTTTCAATTTCACACTGTAACTGTAAGTACAGACTGTCATGACAGACTTATTAATATTATTAATAGTATAGATTATAGATCGGCGGATAGGCCTACTTACTACTTATACTTGTTCAGTCACAGTCACATTAATTAATAAAAACGTACAAAGCGAACTTACCATACATAAGGATGTGAACAGAATAAGTTCATTTTTTTTCTTTTTCTGCTTTTTTCCCTGCTTGCTTGTGTGCATTATTTACAAGCTTTTGCACATCCTTTCTAGTGTGTCCACTCGGATCTTCGTGATGGTGTTGTGTAGCTTCCTTTTTACTCCTACCTTTACCACTATGTGCATGGTTTTCGTATTTATCTTGTTCAATGTTATACTTATCCAACTCATCCAAGTATTTTTCGTCAGGTGCAGACATGATGAAAGGCAAGTCAAATGCTTTTTATGTGTCAAGAGGTGTCTCGTCAAAATAGAAAGCTTGGTAATATTATATTACTCCAGTGAACCAAGTTCATAAACAACAGCTGGTTTTAATTTATACTTCTGCTGCGCATGCAGACAATGTTTTGATAGCCAACGAAAATGATTGGTCGCACAAAGTTCAAGGGTCAAAATTGATTCTACGCCTTCCACGTCCACGTTGTTGACTTTTAATAATAGGGCAACATTGTTCCACCCCAATAGAAAATCGGATAAAGTTTTTAAAAATAAAAAAAAAATACATGATCAATGTTATAATATTATTTATATTTACTTAAATATTTTCAATCGCAGAAGTAAGGAGAAAAATCTATATAATCTTAAGTTGACAGGTGCTTTAAAAACAAGGACTAGTCAACAGAGCTTTGATGCAAAGGTCAAGGTTGTTTTATAGGCTGTGGGTGTCAGTACAATGATGGTCTATTTCTGTTATTTGTGTGTCCCATCGGATCAGATATTTTTTTCCCCCTGAAAAAGAAGACAGAAGAATATGATTGATAATTTATTTCTTCATTAATCATTCATCCATCGTATTTTTATAATAAAGTATAAATTATACATTATATATTGATAATGATAGGTATTATGGTGCCGGAAGACTAGCGAAGCCATGTTTGACAAATTATAAGTTACATTATTTTTTGTTGTTGAAAGTAAGCTAAAACCTAATGGCTATAGACTATACTTTACCAAGTTTATGAGAATGACCACCGCTCTTATTTCAATAGAGTTAAATAATTTTTGTGGCTTCCCCGCTTAAAATTACAGTTCTTTGTTGTAATGTATAAATAATAGTAATAGGCATAGGGCCTATTATTTTTTAAAGTTATATTATTATAAATTGTACTTATAGTATATAGTAATATATTATATTATTCAAATTAGAATTAGAAAATTTATTGTATAAAAATTAATATGTATGATTACTATGATTCAATTATAGTAAATGGTATAAAGTATAAAATAATAGACTTAAATTGTGGGTATTTACGTTGTAATTCCGAAATTATGCATCTGGGTTCAATAAAATTTTGACAAAGGAGACTGAATCAGCCCCTAAGGTGACTGCATTTATTTGCAAATACAGAATGATTCTAATCATACTTATGTATTTATTAGCAAATAAAGAATCATTCTAATCATAATTTTTTATTTTTAATATTTCAGGATGTGTCAAGAGTTATATAATTGTATAAAAGTAGCTTCATAAACCTTATCAGGTCACTCAATTAAAAAAAAAATGGAAAGTGAAGAAGAAGAAGAAGACACAGATTCACTGCTGTCTCTATCTCAGACACTTCTTCACCCAGACAACTCCACTGCCCTCTCTCTCTCCAACACTCACCTTCAGTCATGGGCCTCAACCAATTCTGCAGGAGACATAGTCAATCAATTTTCACCAGTCTCACCAGCGGATAACTATTCTGGTCAAGTTGTCAATACAAATGGGGATACTTTGAACAGATTCTACAACTTCAAATCAGCATCAAATAATTTACCAACAGGTAAGAACTGTAGCTTTGGCAAGATGACCAGTTCTTCTGCCCAGATAGACAACAGTAGCACAACCTTTCAATCAACCAGTCACGTGAATGCTGGTGATTTCTGTCACCCTGGGGATGCTGTCAACCATGCAAACTTGTATTTCGATCACCCAACGGATCCCAGGTCATTATCCTATGGAAATAAAAATTCTGAAAATTCTTTTAGAAATGGAGCTGGTGGGACTTTCGGTCATTTGCAACGCCCAGGCCCAGACACTTTAACCAAACCAATCGCTGCTAACTTCAGCCAAAGTGAATGCTACAATAACATGATGAATTTGGCATTGGTTACAGAGAATGATGGAAAGCTGGTAAGCCAAATTCAACACATTAAGTTTCGATATTATAATTTTTTACATCAATAATTTCATACTGCTACTAAATTTTGTGAGTGTGCTAGCAAAGCAAAGACAGAAAATTTTTAATTTCACACCCAGTTAGCTGGTGTCATCTAACTTTTTAGGGTTTAGGTTTTTTTAAATCAGGGAATAGCTGCCTTGCTACGTAGACTAGTCCATTTCACCTTGCTATTTATCCATTGCTTGGGTTGACCCTGGATAAATTCAAACCTCCTACCTTAAGCCTTCAAGTTGTTAGAGTTGCTGTAAGGGTTATATATATGTATATATGGTATAAGTGTATTGTTCTACCATTTTTTATCATAAGTATGTATTTCCTATATTTTCTTTAATTTGCTCCTCTTTTTCTAATTTAAAGAAATAATTTATTTACCATAGGATCTTTTTGAATCAAGATCAAGACAACATGATTGTACTAAAGATATGGACAATCTTTATGTTTATGATCAAACGATGAACAAAACAGGCAGAAAAACCTTGTCCAGCAATGAAATGCCACCTTCTTTTGACAGAAGGCAAGTGGAATCAAGTGACTTTGAAAATGATTTTAATGATTTCCAACCCAATCCCCGCAATTTTACTTCAACAGCAAAAATAAATGACACAATTTCAGCAAGTCGCTCGAATCAGCAGTTAACATTCCATCACCAGCAAGGTGGGTTTGAGAGTCTGGCCTCTCACAAAACAATGACTTCTGCGCGCGTTACAGAAAATGGTGCGCAGCTTGGTAATTCTTCCTTGGTCCTGGAAGCTGGCACTAAAAGGGCAGCTGCCGCCTACAATGTAGGATTTGGCTCAGACAGTCAGGGCAATAACGATTGCTCAAGGTCAGTGGGCTTGCATAAAAAGTCTGCTTTCCCTCACCAACTAGCTGAACTCCCCTCTGACCTGGAGCCTGTCTTCCACACGGCACACAGTGATTTTGGTGGTCATAAGAAACTGGACCCTCACAGAATGTTTATGTCATCAGAAACCGAGGAGAGCAAGGATCCAACTAAACCACAACAAAATGATAAGAAAGACATGAGTGCCAAGTGGAGTGGTCGGCCCAGGGTTCATAGGAAAATGGCTAGGCTTTTGGGCAGTGAGGACGTTAAAGAATCATTCCAGCCCAGAGATTCCCAGAAACCCTCTTCATCATATCCCAGGCTTGTCCCATCGCTAGATGCTGCTGGACTGTTCAAGAGTTCCCCCTACCAGCAGTCTGGGAGCAGGGATCAGTCTGGCAACAACAGGACATTTCTGACCATGGAAGAAGAGTTGGATCTGAGAACAAACCAACATCAGGAGAGGAACTTCCTTAGGAGGGATGAAAACATGGAGAGGAGCTCTCAGAGAGATGTGGGATTCATCCAAAATGCAGCATTCTCCTTTGAATCAGTTGTCATGTCATCCTCAGTGCCCAAAGACTCCATGGCCAACTTGTTGAACAATCAGACTTTCCTGGCCCCATCCCAGCTGGAGATTGATTTTAACTCATCCCTGACCATCCCCCAGTCACAGAGAGATGTGGATCTCAATCAACATTTCGGTCTGCAGGTTTCAAAAGACTTTGACCTGGAACCCCCCCACAACACCAGCAGTCAAGATGACCTTTCTTTTGATCATGCTGGTTCCCAACACATGAGCCAGGCAGAGTTGTCCCTCTCAGACAATCTAGGGCTCGGATCTCATGGCCAGCAAGACTTGAATCTCGAAGCCTACTTTATATCTACCTCGGAACGGGACTTGGGTTTTGGTAGAAAATTTCAAAATCAAAGAGATATGAACTATGCCCCAACTGCCACCGACAATGATTTTAATATAGAGGACTACATGAACACCACTGGTCATCGTGATCTAGGCCAGGCATATTTTGATCGAACTGATCTTCCCCAAGACATGACAATGTATCAGAAAAGCATACCGGACAAGTCTACGGCTGACATGTCAGTTATAACTAAAGATAGAACCAGGAGTAGTGAGAAACAGTCAGAAATTTCGGAACTCCAAAAGGAGCTGACCAAAACATCAACAAAGGAAAGCATAAAAGGAATACGAATACCCAGAGACATCAACAGAGCCATGGAGATTTTTCAGGGTCTTCAGGAGGATGAGAAAGAAGAAGAGAGACGCAAGGAGCACCATCAGCGGCAGCAGCAGCAGCAGCAACAACACCAGCAACAGCAGCAGCAACAACAGCAGCAGCAACAACAGCAGCACCAAGGTGTCAGTGTGGGTTCAAGTCCCAAAAAGACTTTTCAGAATAAGCATCTTGTGGAGCGGATGAATCTCTCTGAGAAGATAGGTCTGACAGACCAAAATTTCCTCGGGCAGGCGGCATCTCATTTTATGGAAGACCAACCAGTAGGTGGTTTGCTGGACCAGCAACAGCTGATGATGGGCGACCAACAGCAAGAAAACCAGCTGATGATGATGACACAGTACCAGCAAAGTTTCACGTCAACTGAAATTCCATCTCTGCAAAGCAAGCGAGATCTTCAGCAAGGCGTGACGGATGTTAGCTACCACATCCTCAAAAAACTTGGGATTCATGCATGTTTAAAGGATTCAGGTTTGTCACAGCCTACGTCTTACACCGGCCAGGCTACATCCTACACTGGCCAGTCTACATCCTACACTGGCCAGCCTAACTCCTATACTGGCCAGTCTACCTCCTACACTGGCCAGCCATTCCAGACAGGTCACTCATCAGTTGAAGGCCATTCAAATATTAATCATCAGTCCAATACAGACCAGCAGTCCTCCAACACAGGTCATCAGTCCAGTATGGGTCATTCGTCCAGTTTTGTTGCTTTCTTAACAAACAGCTTGGGCTCAGAATCTGAGATGAGATTCTCAGACTCCAGTATTTTACCTTTTCAAAGCCAGCAGCCAGAGCTGGCGTCCAACACCAATGGAATGGACTCACTAAAGTCAACCAGTGAATTGTCAGTTCAGTGTGATAGAAATGAGAGAGTGTGTGATAGAAGCGAGAGAGTCAAAATGAGTGAAACAAACCCTCAAAACTCTGATGACTTGCATCCAGGGATGGCGAGCAAGCAGCAGCAAGAGGAAGATATTTTGATGAGCTCCCGTACAAATTTGTACACCATGATGAAACGTGAGGAATTCTGTGATGCTGTACTCTCCACACCCAAACAAACGGTCAAGGTAAAAAAATATATATATATATATATATAAAATAGCTTAGTATGATCCTTGATCCACTGTTTTTAAAACTTAAAATTTTGGATTTGAAAAAAACAACCTAGATTTACTCTTATCTAATTGCCACTGACAAAAATGTTGCTGTCGCCAACTGTTGACTCTCTCTCTTGTTGTTGCCCAATCAACAAAGTATTATCTTAAATAACTTCTATGACTGCTAATGGCGCTAAATGTGATTTGAATGAAAACTCCCTTTTCCAATCAATATTAATATATTCTGTTTCATCCTAGAGCCCTGCCCTGTTTTTCTACTTTTAAAATTGAAGAAATTTACCAGTAATTGTTTTCCCAACATTTTATGTCCCATCCTGAGCATCTGAAAATGTTCAATGTCCCCGGATCCATCCTGAGCATCTGAAAATGTTCAATGTCCCCGCCCCCATTTTTTAATAAAGGTGCTAAATAGATAGAGGTCTCCATGCTGCCTGATTAAGTGTTTAGACCCCAAGATTCAATTTGCAGGATACAATTTAGTATTTTACAATAAATGAAATGCATTTGTATTGCAATACATGACAAACAATAACAGAGGCGTCATCTTTGACAGTAAGTGTCGTGCCTAACATTGATATCAACACTAACACACATAAACACCCACGTGGACGTTGGGGGAAAATGGTTGTTGCTGGAGAAAAATGGTTGTTGCACACTGGTTTTACTAAAACATTTACTGTACCATTTACTGGATAAACTTTTGTAAAATATTTGTTAAAAACCACCATTGGTTTTATTGGAACAGGGTATTGGGATGTCAAATAATGTCTATATTTCCTCAGGTCCACCAGGCTGTACCCAGTGTACTGTCATATCAATATTTCCTCAGGTCCACCAGGCTGTACCCAGTGTACTGTAATGTCCACATTTCCTCAGGTCCACCAGGCTGTACCCAGTGTACTGTAATGTCCATATTTCCTCAGGTCCACCAGGCTGTACCCAGTGTATTGTAATGTCCATATTTCCTCAGGTCCACCAGGCTGTACCCAGTGTATTGTAATGTCCATATTTCCTCAGGTCCACCAGGCTGTACTCAGTGTACTGTCATATAAATATTTCCTCAGGTCCCGAGGCTGTACCCATTGTACTTTCATGTCAACATTTCCTCAGGTCCACCAGGCTGTACCCATTTTACTTTCATGTCAACATTTCCTCAGGTCCACCAGGCGGTCCTGTGCTCTATGAGCCAATACCTGTCCACACTTCTACTCCAGATGAAACCAAGTCTTCCCGGGGTCACGGCATCAGCCCCCTTGTCCCCAACATCCTGTTACTTCTCCCAGACCACATCCAACCAAGGGGTCCTGCTCCTGATCAACTGTGATAACATCAAGCCAAGCTCCATGTCAGCCTTCCTTGTCTTCATCTACCTGGGCAAAGCAGAGTTTAGTGAGAACAACGTCGAGGACCTCTACATGCTGGCCTGTAGCTTGAAGGTCTCCTCTCTCAAAGATATGTGCAAGGAATACATGTGGGCCACCCAGATGTCAGAGGACAGAATAAAGATCCCCCAGCTGCTTGTATTCAGTCACAGATCTGAAATGCGAGACCAGTCCAGCATGGCCGACCTGAGCGGGGAGAAGGTGTACGAAAACAAGGGAATCAACACCTCACCCCAGCTGAATTTCATGGAGGCCTCCACCCAGACCGACAGGTCCACCACCGAGGCGGGTGAAGGGGGGCAGGAGGAATGGGTCATGCTCAAAAAGACTAAACAGAAAACAGTCTCCCCTTCTAAATGTCGGCTGGTCAAAGTCTTCTCAGGGATCGAAAGTCCGGCTTCTAATAAAGCTGGCAAGAAGGGCTGGCTGTCACCCAAACGTCGTTACAAAACTGAAAGTCAGATGGATGGGAGGGTCATGCAAAAAGAAGCTCAGTGTATGGTAAAAGAGGGGGGGGTCGTAGCTTCTGTGGTAAATGAAAATACTAGTCCAAACGGTATTGAGGAAGACATCTCGGCTTTCAAAAATTCTTCTGATGTATCAGACGAAGGGCTGATGAAATACTTGAATTCCAATTCTGGTCAGACTTTTGCTAATTCTTCAGCTGAAAGGACAATTTCTGTTGCTTCCCTTGTGAGCCAGGACTCGCCATCAACACAGTCCAGGATCAGTCGCACCACAGTTGAAATAGCAGCTGCAGCAGCGGCAGCCAAATTGTCTGCCCATTCCTATGGAACGAGGGCTGCCAGAGGAATCAGCAAGACACCAGTTTCATATGTCACTTTGGCGTCTGGTCAAGATAAGAAGAAATCTGGCTCCCAGCAGAAAACAGCTACTATATCCAAGAAGAAAGACTTTATCAAGTCGAACCCACCATCAGATTTTTTTGTACACCTTGATTCAAGCCATCCAACAGATTTTGTTTTACAACAGACTGTACACCTGGATTCCAAATCACCATCAGATTTTGTTTCACACCAGAATATACAACGGAATATACACCTGGACTCAAATCCACATTCAGATTATGTTGCCCACCAGAATGTACACCTCGATTTTCATGTACCAGGCTTAGCCCATGATCCTGCTATGGACCCTACGGACAGGGATCAGGTAAAATGTGTATTGAATGAAAATAAGAGCACTGAGGATGGAAGGACAGATGCCTATAAAACATCCGTTAAAAGACCCTTTAAAAAAAGTATAGTCCACAGAACTCGTAGCGAGGAAGTGTTCAGGAATATGTTGATCTTGGAGAACATGGAAATAAAAGACAGCACGCTGGACATGGGGACCAAACATGACCAGAACTCTGGGCTGGTGGATTACATGGACACCAGCGTCAGTCACGTCAGCACGCTAATCGACTCGATAGTCAACACAATGGAGTCTGAAACAGGGGATGTGGATTTTCAGAAGGTCATCAGTGACCTTGACACAGAGCTAAGCAAGTCCCCCCTGCTGGCAACAGCCTCGACCACCTCCTCTGTGTCATCAACATCACTGGCATCGCCCCTCAAGTCACCACAGCGCTCCATGTCCGAGTCACCCTTGAAGTCTAAATCTACTCCGCAGGGTTTCAGGAAGAGGCTCATCCACCTGATGAACTCTGAAAACAGTTCGACGTCTCCTGTAGCCACGCTCCCCTTCCCACAAGTGGGCCCATCCACATCACAGGAGAGTTTCAAAGAGATCCACTCACCCCACGCCACTGCCCTTTCACATAAAGATTCATCTCCCGCCTCTCTCCAGACAAGCACCGCTGTCACCTCACTAACTTCAAGTGCCGAAAACTCTATGTCTTCCCTGTCACTTTCTACAAGTCCGGAAAAATCAGGTTCCTCTCTGTCACTTTCAACAAGTCCTGAAAAGTTTGGTCCTGCCGTATCCGTTCCATCGAACCCTGATGGGCCCTCCTCTGTAATTTCCTCTGTGGATGTGGCATCAGGGAATTGCGACTCCACATTAGAAGCTTTGAGCATTCAGCTAACTGGAAGTAAGCGGAAATCTGTAGAACTTGAGACACACTGGTCATCCAGTCTTACAGATGAAGGTAAATATCAATTTTTGTTTAATGTGATATAACTACTAAACCTGGAAATTGTACCACTAGACAAAATTTAAATCGTCTCACTAACTTACAAAGATATTATGTAAAATTTAAAATAAAAATCAAATAAATGTTATTTATTTTTGTTTCTAAAAAAATGCGGTGTATTTCTGAAAAATATTTTGTTTAAAAATCTTTCAGCAATAGCATAGAGCACTTCCTGCTCTAAACTTTGAGCTACACTGACATTATTGAGATCTTCGAGATCACAAGTTTTTATTTATTTCTTTAACTTAAGTCATCTGTTGTTAACTTGCTTTGTATTTATCTGCTGAAGCAGGCCTCTGGCCCAATCGTCAGTTGAATTTTCACATCGTTTCTTTTCAAGCCTTAAAGTTTTTTAATTTCACACGGTTTGGTTTGAACGCAGTCCTTCATGCATTAGCCTTTGTTTAAATATGGCTAAAGGCTCGCAGTTGAGATTTATGTGTCTGAAGGTTTTCAGGCTTATACGCACATGAAATGGAATTGAAATTTAATCTAATTTTTTTTCACACGCTCAAATTTTGCGTCAAATTTCTTTCCGAACGCACTATACTATATAGTAAAACAAAATAATGCGTTCAAAAAGAAATTTGACGAAAATTTTAGCGTGTGAACTAAAAAAAAGTCAATCAAATTTCCATTCCATGAAACTTCCGTCTATCAATTTTCCTTCAACAAAATTTCTTTCAAACAAATTTCCAGATACGAGTAAATCCAGGGGATATTTCAGGTCTAACATTTAAATCTGACCAAAAAGGAAAGGGATACATACAGAAATAGTTAAAATTTATTTACAAATATCTTACAAATCTTTAAGTGAAGAGATTTCATGACAACACCACCCCCCCCCCCCCCCCCCCCCCCCCCCCCCNCTCTCTCTCTCTCTCTTTCCTGACAGACACACACAAAGGCAGACACACAGACAGACACACAGATGCACACACAGTCACCAGACACACATGCACACAGAGACACACACACCAAATAAAATAAGAGCACAGTAACCAGTAAGTTGGTTGATATGTTACAGTAAAATTTAATAAGGTGTGATTATTCTTCTTAATTTTCTTTCAGGTCTGCCATCACCCATGGGGACTTTTTCCTCCATGACTGACCATGACCTTGGCCTAAAAGATGAGGACCTTCAACAATTCCACCACAAAATATTCAAGAGGAAGAAAAAGCCCAAAGCTAGGTAGTTTAATGATGAGTTTAATAATGGGTTTAATGATAGGTTTAGTGATGGGTTTGATGATGGGTTTGATGATGAGTTTAATGATGGGTTTAATAATGGGTTTAATTATGGGTTTAATGATGGGTTTAATGATGGGTTTAATGATGGGTTTAATGATGGGTTTGATGATGGGTTTAATGATGGTGCAGTCAATTATTTGATCCCTCTTGAACAATTTAATGAAATAGAAATTTGAGTTATCAGGGGACTGGAGTTTTTAAGTTACATTAGAGCTGAACGAAAGATTTTGAGTTACTTGTATCACTATTTGGTTATTTGTGTTGCGGAATTTAGAGTTCTACATCAAGATTATAATGCAAGATTTCTGAATAGAATAAATTCTTCTAATAGCACCTTTTTTTGGGTGAAAAAAAATAAGTCATGAGTTATCAATTATTATTGTATGCTTTAGTTCATTTTTCTGGAACAATATTTTACGAGTGTCTGTTAAGTGAGTTTATAGTTTTTGATAGAGTAGTCCATTGTTATAATAAGAGTGTCTGGTTCTGTCAGTTCATAGTTTTTCAAAGGGTAGTAAATTACAATTTTGTTCTTACAATAAATTAACAATAATTTAATCATATACTTTTTAATGGTGCCAGTTGTACCTGATTATGTTTGCATGTATTATTTGTAGGAAATTGCCAGCAACAGAGGCAGAGGGAGCCTCCATCAAGATGAAGCTAAAGAAATTTTTGTCCAACGATTCAGAGGCGGGTGTGGTCAAGGTCAGGCAAAGAAAACCCACGGGTAGTGACACAGAAGGGGGTGTCAAAAAGCAGAAAAAAACCCAGAGCAACGATTGGCCAGACGCACCTGCCAAAGTGAGGCCTCCTCCAAAGAAACGGGCCAAGATGGAATTGGAACTCCTTAAAGCCGCCAGCAAGGCAATACCAGAAGAGATGGTCCGTGCCGCAGATGTCAAGGCAGAGAACCCACTGGTAACCCACTTGCAGGAGGAAAATGATAGGGCAAAGAATTTGGATCAAAGGAGTAGTGACCCTGTCCAATGTGACAGTAACAATGCGCAAAAGGACACAGATGAAAACCAAGTGGAAATTAAAGAAGTCACCGTGAGTTCTTACTTTCGATAAATTGTCTGTAAATCTAGCTAGTTTGTGTGTGTTGCTGTTATATTGTTCATTCATTCAATAATCATAACAACTCAAAAAGTTAATGCACATGAGGATTTATTAATTTTTTTTATAGGAACGAAATCTGAAGTGAAGTGCCAACACATAAAGACGTAAATTTTTTATTAGACTCACTGTGTTAGCATCCATCTATGCTATGTATAGAGTGACAATAATTAATATCTGGCCCTGGATTAAAATTTTTAAAATGAAATTGAACCCCTATTCAACTAATATGCTTTGTGACCAAATTTTCTGCCTGCCCAACACCCTTTCTGACCAATCACTGGCCAAACAACCTTTCTGGCCAAACAACCTTTCTGGCCAAACATCCTTGATCATATTATATAATAAAGTTTTTAAAATGATTTTTTTTTCTAAAATGTGAAATCGTGGATTTACATTTTTTAAATATAAAGAAGTTACGTTGGTTAGTTTTTCACCAATCTGGTAAAGTATTTGCTGTTTGTAGACTTTCAAATAATGACATTGTCAAGTCATGGTTTTTAAACTATTATAATTTATAGTGTAACACACACTATTAAACATTTAATTATAATTAAAAGGTGCCTCAAGGCAAGAAAAAGATTAAACCGGCCTTCAAGAGCAGCCCACGGAATTCATCCAAGACATCGAACGCAGACATCAAACCATCAGCGGCAGACCTGGCAGAGGAACCTGAGCTGGTCACCATGCTTGAGAACATGATGAGGCCGCGGGGTCTCAGGTTCCAACAGTACTGCTGCACCCTATGTCAAACTAAGTTCAAAAGTGCACGCCGTACAGTCAAGCATTTACACCAACACGGACTCCGCGGGGAGGAATCTTTGTCAAAAATTATCATATGCGAGAAAGATAAAGAGCCTGAGGTAAAATATTTTGAGAACAAGTTAGTTTGATGTTAGTTTTGTTCTGTTAATCCCCTAAATGAGAACAAGTTATAGTTTGATGTTAGTTTTGTTCTGTTAATCCCCTAAATGAGAACAAGTTAGTTTGATGTTAGTTTTGTTCTGGAAGTGGAAGACTATTTAATAGAGGGGATGTGATTTTATCCATTGTCCAACCCCACGAATTTTGAATATTCATGTTTTTTAAAAACTTATTCCATGTCAATGAGTTTTACATTTCTAAGAGTATTACATTTCTAAGAGTTTTACATTTCTAAGAGTATTACATTTCTAAGAGTATTGCTTTTCTAAGAGTATTGCTTTTATAATAGTATAGCATTTCTAAGAGTGTTAAATTTCTAAGCATTTTGCTTTTATAAGACTATTGCTTTTCTACAAGTATCACTTATTGGAGCCACTCATTTTAATTGTGCTCTGACCTACAAATAAAAAGGCCACAAAAAGGCTCATTATTGTAATGAGCTGTGATGTAGGACAGGTTTTTACTGTAGCTCTGTGTGCACGTTACACGTTCATAGTCTGTTTTATGATAATTCTGAGTATGAATTTTCTGAAAGTTTAGAAAATGCATGACCGAGAAGGTCCTCTTTGAAACCTCCTAATTGATTGTCACTAAACCATGTACATGTGCCCCCCCCAACACCCCCACTTCCTTTCTTCTCTAGGCGTGCAGTGTGTGCGGTTACATCACCAAGGATCGCACCTACCACTACATGCACTACCACAAGTACTTCAAGCACGGCATCCCACTGCCCTTGGGGTGGCGGCCCGACCGTTGCCATGTGTGTGGCAAGGAGTGCTTCACCAAGTTCCAGCTCAAGGAGCACATGATGACCCACATGGACACGCCGACCTTCATCTGCTGGAAATGTGGACAGGTGAGTTTACATGATGACCCACACGGAAACACCGACCTTCATCTGCTGGAAATGTGGACAGGTGAGTTTACTTGATGACCTACACGGACACGCCGACTTTCATCTGCTGGAAATGTGGACAGGTGAGTTTACATGATGACCCACACGGACACGCCGACCTTCATCTGCTGGAAATGTGGACATGTGAGTTTACAATGAAAACACGCAGACACACACACACAGACACGCCGACCTTCATCTGCTGGTATGTGGACAGGGGAGCTTACTTACAACACTTGCAGACAGTCATACAGAGACATGTAGACCTTCAAATGGTGGACATTTGAGATCATCTACCTTTACATGTTCAAATTTAGAGATCCAATGCTTTTAGGGGCACTTCATTTACCCAAATCTCCCATTTGGAGATCCAATGCGCCTAGAGGCACGTCACTTACCCAAATCTCCCGTTAGGAGATCCAATACTCCTAGAGGTATGTCACTTACTCTAATCTCCCATTTGGAGATCCAATGCTCCTAGAGGCACGTCACTTACCCAAATCTCCCATTTGGAGATCCAATGCGCCTAGAGGCACGTCACTTACCCAAATCTCCCATTTGGAGATCCAATGCTCCTAGAGGCACGTCACTTACCCAAATCTCCCATTTGGAGATCCAATGCTCCTAGAGGCACGTCACTTACCCAAATCTCCCATTTGGAGATCCAATGCTCCTAGAGGCACGTCACTTACCCAAATCTCCCATTTGGAGATCCAATGCTCCTAGAGGCACGTCACTTACCCAAATCTCCCATTTGGAGATCCAATGCTCCTAGAGGCACGTCACTTACCCAAATCTCCCATTTGGAGATCCAATGCTCCTAGAGGCACGTCACTTACCCAAATCTCCCATTTGGAGATCCAATGCTCCTAGAGGCACGTCACTTACCCAAATCTCCCATTTGGAGATCCAATGCTCCTAGAGGCACGTCACTTACCCAAATCTCCCATTTGGAGATCCAATGCTCCTAGAGGCACGTCACTTACCCAAATCTCCCATTTGGAGATCCAATGCTCCTAGAGGCACATCACTTACCCAAATCTCCCATTTCCACTGTTATTTTTATTTGATGCTTTCCTCATCGTGGTCTCCTGAAAATCGTTTATTTCTAATGAATAGACATATTGTTAGTCAACAATAAAATGTTATAATACAGGATGCGCCAAAACTATCAGTACTGAAACTCCTGGATCTTGATGGCTTACTTGCCTTTGTCCAACGGTGCATATGTCCAGCTGCCATGTGGCCATAGAAGGGAAAAGTTTTATTTGTTGGGCATTTTTTGTTCGCAGTCTGACCACGGAAGAAAAGTATTCATAGTTGAGCAATATTTTCCCCTCATATGTTAGTGAACGGAAAGGGTGATCGGGGTATAAAAAAAGTTTGAAGAACGATTCCGAGAGAGATTAAGAAAAAGGGCACTAAGTAACACAGTTCTGGAAAGGTACTCTGACACCAAGTAACACTGCCCTGGAAAGGTTCTCTGACACTATGTAACACAGTTCTGGAAAGGTACTCTGACACCAAGTAACACAGTTCTGGAAAGGTACTCTGACACCAAGTAACACGGTTCTTGAAATGAAATGGGAAAGTCTGATCGACCTCTTAGAAACTAGAGGGAAAGTCTGATCGACCTCTTAGAGGAATGTGACCTTTGTTGGAGAACCAGACTTGTTTACCCGATTTTGGCAAACAATGTACAATTTTGAGGTGTATACATCATATACTGTCTGATTATTTTTGTCTATAAATATAAGGTATTGTATGATTTTGTGATGATAGTGTACAATTTTAAGAGTTTGAGGGTAAACAGGTCTGGAGAACCACTCGTTCTTATAAAAAAAACTGGAACCTTGTACACCATAGCCAGAAATTTCAACAGTACATCATCCTGGCTCGCTTATCAAGCTTCAAAACTCTGCCCAACCTGTATCAGAAACAATAATGCACTTATGTCCTTAAAAAATCGACGAACTAACGTATTACTGATGTTCAGTTAGAAGGATGTTCCTCGCAGACTTAATAGGGGCGAACACATCACCTTCAGGAGAACACAGGCAGGATTCTTATTAACGAAAAACTTACTCGTCCATAAGACTTCCTCTTTCATTAATTCACACAATGCATTTCCATAACGGTGAAATGTCTTAACAATTTACAGCATAACTGTGTTAATTGGTTCCGTTTTTTTAAAATTTGCCTTGGCATTGTTCTGCCACCCTGATTCGATCCCCCTTCACAATCACTACGTCACTTACATGCGAGCAAAAAATTATCATCAACTATGAGAAATAATTCCTCCGTAGAGGGACCCATTTCCAGCAACAACGGGCTAACACAACGTCCTCAACATTTCAAGGATCACGTGGCGGCTGAAGCTATGCAGTATTTACGAGTGCATTAATGCAGTTTCAGTACTGTAACTTTTGGAGCATACTGTAAAATGTATATAATTTGTATATTTTCTTCCCTGAAGAGTTTCAAAACAAGGAATGGCTATAACAGTCACTTCTTCCATACACACAGTGAGGTTCGCAAACATCTCTGTAAGGCTTGTGGGAAGACCTTCAAAACTTGGACTCAGCTAAAAGTCCATGTTCGGTCGCACACAGGTAACTTAAATACACTTAAAACCTCTTTCACTAATGACGATCAAAACCTCATCTTAAAAGCACGGTGGTAATCTGAATATTATTTTAAAAACACGGTGGTAGTTTGAATATCATTTTAGTAACAGTGGTAATCTGAATATCATTTTAATAGCACATTGGTAATCTGAATATCATTTTAATAACGGTGGTAATTTAAATGTCATTTTAATATTAACAACAGGGTGGTAATCTGAATATCATTTTAATGTTAATCACATGGTGGTAATCTGACTATCATTTTAAAAACACAGTGATAATTTGAATATCATTTTAATAACACTGTGGTTATCTGAATGTCCATTGAGCATTTAATATTTTGCTTAGAAAAAGTGCCGTATAGTTGATGTTAAATCTCAGCTGTAATTATGGAAACTGACAATAGTCTAAACAATGATTTTTGCATGAGTGCAGTCCCCATACACTGGCCGAATTCTTTTAACTGATCATGCAAACTTAACACTTTCCCAACTGTAATGTCTGCTATACAGACTCTGAATGTCTGCTATACAGACTCTGAATGTCTGCAATACAGACTCTGAATGTCTGCAATACAGACTGAATGTCTGCAATGCAGACTGTGAATGTCTGCTATACAGACTAAATGTCTGCTGTACAGACTGAATGTCTGCTGTACAGACTCTGAAAGTCTCTGTAAAGACTCTGATTGTCTGCTATGCAGACTCTGAATGTCTGCAACACAGACTGTGAATGTCTGCAATACAGACTGTGAATGTCTGCTATACAGACTAAATGTCTGCTGTACAGACTGAATGTCTGCTGTACAGACTCTGAAAGTCTCTGTAAAGACTCTGATTGTCTGCCATACAGACTCTGAATGTCTGGACATACAGACTGTGAATGTCTTCTCTACAGACTCTGACAGATGTCCATATAAAAGAAACCTCTTGATTACTCTTGGCACTTTTTCTAAGTGAGTTTGGTTTTTATTTATCATTTAGGTGAGCGCCCGTTTGCTTGTGTAGAATGTGGTCACAGAAGCACAACACAGGGGAACATGAAAGGTCACCTGAACACACACGGCTACAGCAAGGAGACGATAAGGGAGTTGATGGATACAGTGAGTTGTCAAACATTTATACACACGCATCTTAATAATACACACACACCTAAACACACACACCCGAACACTCACATCTAAACATGCACATCTGAACGCACACTTCTAAACACACACGGCTGCAGCAAGGAGACAGTACAGGTCTTGGTGGATACAGTTGTCAAATATTTATACACACACAACTAAACACACATTCAACATTCTACTAATGATGGATGTAGTGTGTGTTCAAATCTTCCTACACAGGCCATACACTCAGTAGATAACAAATTATTATAATGGTGATGAATGCTATGAATTTGTACAAAATAAGTTCACACATTTATAAAAAGAATTACTAGGAGACAGAAATTATTACAATGTTCATCAATGGACGGTAGATGTTTAACAAACACTATTTGGAGTTTTCCATTATAAAAATTAAAAATGTTTGCAATTAACAAGAAAAGAAAAAAAAATTGTTAAAAAAAAGAAGATATTTCAATTCATCATCTTTAAAATATAAATAGGTGGGGGGGAGAAATCATTTATGAGATAAAGTTTGAATGTGCACACTAATTGATGGAATAAATGTTAAGTATGTGGCAAAAGTGGTCTACAGACCGAAATCAAGGAGCAGAGGGCTCACTGGACGACCCCCAGACTGAGATGAATTGATGATGTAGAGAAGGACTTTCATCAGCTGGGGGTCTGTGCATGGAAGCGTAATGCCATGGATCAGTCCTAATGGAAGGATGTGGTGGAGCAGGCCAGGGCCGTATATGGGGTGTAGTGCCACTCATGATGATGATGTTTGAATGGAAGGAAGTGGGGGAGCAGGCCAGGGCCCTACATGGACTGCAGGGCCACTCATGATGATGATGTTTGAATGGAAGGAAGTGGGGGAGCAGGCCAGGCAGGGCCCTACATGGACTGTAGGGCCACTCATGATAATGATGCAGTTTAGCACCAGTAAATGAAATGCAAAGTACTGTTCAGGCAAATTGATTTATGTGATAACTGCTAAAATTTCAGATCAACAAAAACGTCCCTGAGATGACGCCAGAGTCCTTGGATAAGATCATGCTGAGTATTGCGGTCAAGGTGAGTTGACGACTTTGTTTGATTTCTGCTGGTCGGCTATCATTAAATACCTTAGCGCATTGTGATGTCGAGAAATTCTCATCTTGACCAGCATTGACCGAATAATCCAGCTCAGTACATCAGTGCAGATCAATGCAGATAATACCATAAAATTTCAAGCTGTCTTTTGAACCAAAAAATATTATAGACGTTTGATTGCAGTTTTGATAATTTCAACACAATTTCAATTTTCGTCACATTTCGTCCATTTATTTTATTTCTAAAGCAGAGTATCTCCCTTTAAAAAATCAATATTTAGGTGCAGGAGGATGTAAAACTGGCAGCAAAGAAAAAGAAGAGAAAATCAGGAACGAAAAACAGCGTTAAGGAAAAGAAGATTTCTATAAAAGAAGATGATGATGAGACACCAAAAGAGTTACAAGTTAAAGTGAAGAAGAAGGCAAAAAAGGAGAAACGGGCAAAGAAGACCTCGAGGTTTGAAGGCTCAGAAATCAGGCGGCTGTTTTCTGCACCCCTCAGTAAATTGAAACCGCCAAAGCTAGTGGTCACTAGACAGATTCAACCAGCAAAAACATCGAGTGACTCCGGGGCCGTCACCTATAATGAGGAGACTGGAGTTATACAGGTAAGGTTGGCTGAGATAGGGGGGCAAGGTTATGCAGGTAACTTGGGGGTTTTAGGTAGCTTAGGCGAATACTGGCAGCCGTGAGTATACAAGCATTTTGGGGTGTACAGGTAACCATTAGTTCAGCATTGCTAGACATTTTTCCACCCTGTCCCTAGAAGAGTTGGGTCCATGGCAAAATTGATTTTAATATAACTTGGTTGTCAAGTGCTCAGCCACAGCAATACCTTTGATTTATTATGACTTGATTGTTATTTTCTCAGTCACAGACCAGTAATGCCATTGATTTATTATAACTTGGTTGTTCAGTTCTCAGTCCCAGACAATTAATGCAATTGATTTATTATAACTTGGTTGTTAAGTCCCAGTCACAGCAATACCTTTGATTTATTAAAACTTGGCTGTTAAGTTCTCAGGCATAGACAATTAACGTAGGAGCCTACAGTAAAGGAATAACTTGTTCTTATTTCACTTTTGTTTTTTGGGCACAGCATATTTTCTGGGAATTTTTTTTTTTTTTTTTAAATGTCAAATTNGGGGGGGGGGGGGTTTGTATATTTTCTACTGGTTATTTAAAGTCTATATTTTGGTCGTATATATCTATTGATGGAAAGCTGGGCACACCATCTCACACACAAGTGGCAGGTTTTACATATCTCCTCTAGTGTCTGATGTATTAAAAAAGAAAGATCGTAAGAGTCTGTGTCCTTTTTATTAGCTCCTTGAATAATTCATAATTTTATCTGTAAACCAACAAAGCCATGTATCGCTTTAAATTTTTTCAGGCTTGCCAGGGCGGCGGCGAGGCAGATCCGAACCGGTTCCTTGACATAAACAGCTTGAATGTTCTACTGCACCAGCAGAACCAGGAGTCAACCACTTTCTTGATACCCCTGTCCCAGACCGACCAGCAGCCGTCGGTGTCCGGTATTCAGTACTCTCATCCGCAGCATCACACATTAGACCCCTCGGCTCTCCTCGGCTACATGGTCATCAGGACAGGGGGGAATAACTCCCAGGATCCCACCTTGATACGAACCAGTGCTGGTCAGACGGGGGAAACCAATTCAATGGGCTCGGCAAATGGTGGTGTGACCTTGCCGATGTTTTCCCCAGCCAATATCATGATGCAGGCCTTGTCCCAGCCGGTCCAGCTCATCCAGTCGCACTTGCCGGGCATGATGCACCTGTGTGGTCAAAACATGGTGGTTCAGAAAACTCACTGTTTAGGTAACTCTTTTACTTTCAGGTCAATGTGCCTTTAATGAACGGGAATTATTACATTTCAGATCAATGTATCGTCCAAGTCTGCGGTATGGGCGTTAGAGAGTGAGATGTGGCGCCACAGGAAGGCTGGTATAGAGTGAGGCGTGGCGTCACAGGAAGGCTGGTATAGAGTGAGGTGTGGTTTCACAGGAAGGCTGGTATAGAGTGAGGTATGGCGTCCCAGGAAGGCTCGTATAGAGTTAGGTGTGGTTTCACAGGAAGGCTGGTATAGAGTGAGGCGGGGGTCCCAGGAAGGCTGATATGGTGTGAGGCGGGGTGTCCCAGGAAGGCTGGTATGGTGTGAGGTGTGGCGTCCCAGGAAGGCTGGTATAGAGTGAGGCGTGTCGTCCCAGAAAGGCTGGTATAGAGGGAGGTGTGGCGTCCTTGGAAGGCTGATATAGTGTGAGGTGTGGCGCCACAGGAAGGCTGGTATAGAGTGAGGCTCGGCGTCCCAGGAAGGCTGGTATAGAGTGAGGTGTGCCGTCCCAGGAAGGCTGTTCTTATCTGTTTCAAAAGTTATTTAAAAAATTTCTTTCCTTTAAAATTGTCCTGGTATAAATTTTTGTTTTATTTTTATCAGAATGTTTACCGTCACTAGTTTTTATATCGAAACACATTTCCAATCATTTGGATTGAATACGATCGTATCTTGTATCCTCTTTTTTTTAAATGTTGTGTCGTAAAACACACCTTGTTCTAATGATTTTTAAAAAAATTATCGTGTTTGAAGAAAGACATCGTGCTCTAAAAGTCTTTTTTTAAAATATATTGTCTAAAGACACACCTTTTCGTAATAATTATAGTGTCTTAAGACACAAAGCTTGATCTAATCATCTATTTACAAAAATGGTCACTTTATGTTTCAGGGGGCTCCAAACACATAGAGACTTTAGAACTGCAAGACTCTGGCATGTCTCTGAACTACTTGGGGCCGGATGTCACGGTTGTGACGGACGGTCAGCAGCACAACGCCGGCAACTTCCAGGCCATCATCACAGAGGATGAGACGGTGATGGTGCTGCCCAACGCCGCCAGCGCTGATCAGAACCCTGCTGACATCTACAGGTACCCTGACGTGTCGGGCGGGGGTCAGTCTGTGCTGGTACCTGTCTCCTCAGGTCAGTCTCAGCTTTTGCTTCAAGCTTTTTTTTTTTTTTTAAATAATGATGTCGCGGGGTGGGGGGGGCATGTACAATCCTGGGACACCCAGTTGTGTAGATTCTCAAATTTTTTTTCTTTACTCGTAGCCCTCTTAACATTTTAATTACCATTGTGGCACCCTTGACGATAATAATTTTAAAAAAAATAAAAGTTTTCGTGGCCTTTCAAAAAAATAGGGTGAGGCAACCGTTGAAAACCACTGGTGTAGGGAGCTGTAGAACCACTGGTGTAAGCAGGTATAGAACCACTGGTGTAAGGGGCTATGGAGCTACTGGTTTAGGGAGCTATAGAACCACTGGTGTAAGTAGGTATAGAACCAATGGTGTAGGGAGCTATAGAACCACTGGTGTAAGTAGGTATAGAACAATGGTGGAGGGAGCTATGGGACCACTAGTGTAAGCAGGTCTAGAACCACAGGTTTATGGGGCTATGGAACAACTGGTGTAGGGAGTTATAGAACCACTGGTGTAAGTAAGTATAGAACTTCACTGGTTTAGGGAACTATAGAACCACTGGATTAGGGAACTATAGAACCACTGGTGTAGGGATATAACGATCCACTGCTTTAGGGCATTATAGAACCACTCATATGGGGAGCTGTCTCACAAAAAAAAAAAAATCATGGACTCTGCTTTTAAATTGTTAAAAGTTCATTTGGGTAGGTTTAATTTAAAACACTGCACATTCTGGGACACATTGTGTCTGCTCTCAGGATTCATGTCATAGAATCATATTTAATCACTCTATGTCACGTGTGTCTGCTCTCAGGATACATGTCATAGAATCATATTTAATCATTCTTTGTCACGTGTGTCTGCTCTCATGACACATGTCATAGAATCATATTTAATCACTCTTTGTCATGTGTGTCTGCTCTCAGGACACATGTCATATAATCATATTTAATCACTCTTTGTCACGTGTGTCTGCTCTCAGGACACATGTCATATAATCATATTTAATCACTCTTTGTCACGTGTGTCTGCTCTCACATGTCATATAATCATATTTAATCACTCTTTGTCACATGTGTCTGCTCTCAGGACACATATTTAATCACTCTGTGTCATGTGTGTCTGCTCTCAGGACACATGTCATATAATCATATTTAATCACTCTTTGTCACGTGTGTCTGCTCTCAGGACACATGTCATATAATCATATTTAATCACTCTTTGTCACGTGTGTCTGCTCTCAGGACACATGTCATATAATCATATTTAATCACTCTTTGTCACATGTGTCTGCTCTCAGGACACATGTCATATAATCATATTTAATCACTCTTTGTCACGTGTGTCTGCTCCCAGGACACATGTCATATAATCATATTTAATCACTCTATCAATTATTAGTTGATGTGTTTTTTTTTGTTTTGTGTTTTTTGTTTTTTTTGCAGGCAGTTTTGTCAAGTTCCCTGTGTCAGGAACGGAAGGCGTGTCACAACACTGCTACACTGTGATTACTACCGAAGGCTGCCAAATGGTCACCCCGAATGGTCAGCTGGACCTTGTGGTGGAGGCCGGTGACCAAAACTCGGCCGGTCAAAAGTATGAATCACAGGATCATGGCGACCTGGCGGAAGGCTCAAGAGAAATGTCTGAAGAGGACACGAAGAAATGGCAAGATGACCAGGTCTTGTCATAGAAATCCGTCAGCTTTCTAAAAGAAAACTTTTGATAATCCTGGACAACAAACTCAGGGGAAACAATGGACAACTAACTCAGGGAAACAATGATGCAGCCAGGACCTGCTGCTAACTGCCAGCAATATTTTTTGTGATCGGTTGTATGTGAGTTGGTGGGAGAAATCTGATGTTGTATGTGACTTGATGGGAGACATCTGAATTTGCATGTTATTGATGAGGGAAATCTGATGTTGTATGTTACCTGATGGGAGAAATCTGATGTTATATGTGACATGAGGGGACACATCTGATGTGTGTGATGTGCTGGGAGACATGTAATGTATGTGACGTGATGGGAGACATGTAATGTATGTGACGTGATGGGAGACATCTGATGTTGTATGTTACTTGATGGGAGACATCTGATGTTGTTTGTGACTTGATGGGAGACAACTGATGTTGTATGTGACTTGATGGGAGACATCTGATGTTGTATGTGACTTGATTGGAGAATCTTATATTGTATTTTACTTGGGAAACATCTGATGTTGCATGTGGCTTGATGGAAGGCATATGATGCTGTGTGTGACTTGATGGGAAAATCTGATGTTGTATGTGACTTGATGGAAGGCATATGATGCTGTGTGTGACTTGATGGGAGAAATCTGATATTTTTACTCTGTATAATATGTACTTTTTGTATTTATGTCTTAACACCATCACAAAGATGGTTGAAGGTTGTACATTTTCATATTTTCATTTCCTCATCATTGCCATCGCAACACTTTGGTTGATATTATCATTCAATTTTTAACTTCCATGTGCAGGATTTTTCTATTCATTAAAATCTACAGTTAGTTTGGTACAAGGTCTTCTTTTGTTGATTTTATTGCTATGCCATGCATTTCTTTTTTAAAATGGGGGTGACCCTACACATAATCTTCACATTACAATACACATGATTCTACACATTACAATACACATGATTATACACATTACAATACACATGATTCTACACATTACAATGCACATGATTCTACACATTACAATACACATGATTCTACACATTACAATGCACATGATTCTACACATTACAATGCACATTATTCTACACATTACAATACACATGAATCTACACATTACAACACACATGATTCTATACATTACAACACACATGATTCTACACATTACAATAAACAGGATTCTACACATTACAATACACAGGATTCTACACATTACAAGACACATGATTCTACACATTACAAGACACATGATTCTATACAATACAACACACATGAATCTACACATTACAACACACATGATTCTACACATTACAATTCACATGATTCTACACATTACAATTCACATGATTCTACACATTACAACACACATGAATCTACACATTACAATACACATGATTCTACACATTACAATAGACATGATTCTACACATTACAATACACATGATTCTACACATTACAATACACATGATTCTACACATTACAATACACGTGATTCTACACATTACAATACACATAATTTTTTAAATTGAAAGAGATGTGGGTGGGGGGGGGGAAGTGAAAATTTATAAAGAAGATGGAGTCAGTGATATCATTTTCATACAATGTAACAGGGTTGCCATATCATTTAACAGTGTCAGTTGTATCATATAAGTTGTTTATATCATAGTAAAACAAAACATATTGAATATCGTTGGCTTCCAGTGGAAGGGGGGGGGGGAGATAACCCCTTCACGATGCCAAGCTTGCCTAATAACAGTGATGTCAAACCCTTTTACAGACCAGTGCCCATGGGCGTAGGTCACTTTCTTTGCAGGGGGTGGAGGGTCCAAACCCCCCCCCCCCACTGGCCATCTAGAACCCTGCAAGTGTCCAAACCGCAACCAACAAATTCACTTAACCTATCGCAACGNATTTAACAGTGTCAGTTGTATCATATAAGTTGTTTATATCATAGTAAAACAAAACATATTGAATATCGTTGGCTTCCAGTGGAAGGGGGGGGGGGAGATAACCCCTTCACGATGCCAAGCTTGCCTAATAACAGGGATGTCAAACCCTTTTACAGACCAGTGCCCATGGGCGTAGGTCACTTTCTTTGCAGGGGGTGGAGGGTCCAAACCCCCCCCCCCACTGGCCATCTAGAACCCTGCAAGTGTCCAAACCGCAACCAACAAATTCACTTAACCTATCGCAACGTGCCGACACAGTATTTGAACCTGAATACTTGGGGTGCCGACACAGCATTTGAACCTGAATACTTGGGGTGCCGACACAGCATTTGAACCTGAATACTTGGGGTGCCGACACAGCATTTGAACCTGAAGACTTGGGGTGCCGACACAGCATTTGAACCTGAAGACTTGGGGTGCCGACACAGCATTTGAACCTGAATACTGGGGTTTTAGGATTCAGAAACTAAACAAACAACAGCGGTACTTGTACAGTTTCATCTTTTGTAGTTTTAACTTAAGACCAACAACAGAGTGTCCAGTGCTACATACATCTTCAGTGATACAGACATCTTCAGTGATACTGACATCTTCAGTGATACAGACATCTTCAGTGATACTGACAACTTCAGTGATACCGAAATCTTCAGTGATACTGACATCGTCAGTGATACTGACATCTTCAGTGATACTGACATCTTCAGTGATACATACATCTTCAGTGATACAGACATCTTCAGTCATACAGACATCTTCAGTCATACAGACATCTTCAGTCATAAAGACATCTTCAAAGAGACAGACATCTTCAGTAATACTGAAATCTTCAGTGATATTGAATCTTCAGTCATACAGACATCTTCAGTCATACAGACATCTTCAGTGATACTGACATCTTCAGTCATACAGACATCTTCAGTGATACAGACATCTTCAGTGATACAGACATCTTCAGTGATACAGACATCTTCAGTGATACAGACATCTTCAGTCATACAGACATCTTCAGTGATACATACATCTTCAGTGATACAGACATCTTCAGTCATACAGACATCTTCAGTCATACAGACATCTTCAGTCATAAAGACATCTTCAAAGAGACAGACATCTTCAGTAATACTGAAATCTTCAGTGATATTGAATCTTCAGTCATACAGACATCTTCAGTCATACAGACATCTTCAGAGATACAGACATCTTCAGAGATACAGACATCTTCAGTGATACAAACATCTTCAGTGATACAGACCTCTGCAGTGATACATACCTCTTCAGTGATACATACATCTTCAG